TGTCCAGATTGACATTGATAGTAAAGCATTGGTACAGATAAATCATGTCCAGATTGACATTGATAGTAAAGCATTTGTACAGATAAATCGTGTCCAGATTGACATTGATAGTAAAACATTGGTACAGATAAATCGTATCCAGATTGACTTTGATAGTAAAAAATTGGTTAAGATAAATCATGTCCTGACTGATTGACATTGATAGTAAAGTGTTATTGAATTGATTAGTTCTTATGCCTCGTATACCAACGAGAGGGATTGATTTGTACCTGGATTGATGCGGGTCTAAACGGATTTATTGGAGTAGGGCTTTTACTACAAAACTACTTCCCTATTTGGCAAAAAATCCTCATCCCCTAGGGCTGTCCTCTATACCCCCTACATCGCGAGCAATGGCAAATAGTACTCAACCTCCTATCCACCCTCCTCTCACCTCCCCCCGCCCCCCGTTCGTCCGTCTGTTTCCTGTATTTAGAAAGCAAATCATTCAACCCTCATTTTGTTTCAACTCTGAAGGAAATTATTTCAACTAAAAAGAAAACAAATGTTCTATATTTTCTAAACTAGAGACTGCAGCAGCAGTAAACAATATATTATTCACTTCAGACAGATTTTTCACAGTCCATTTTTCTGTAAGGGTGGCCTGGTGTCATGATAGTTCAATACTTGTCCAATTATTTCATTTCTTTGTTTTAACATAGTCCTAAATAATAATAAAAAAATGAGGAATAAAAGTAGCGCCTCAGTTGGACTGAAAAAGATAAATGAAGTTTTTTTTTGAAAGAAGGTAAAACATTAGTTTAGTCCAAGATAGTAACTTTTAAATCCGTTCAAGTCATTCTTTCCTTGTCGTTAATTTGACTAACACCTTGTCAGCCAAATCTCTAAAGTTTTTGAATCAGTTAAGGTAACCTAGGTAAGAAAATGAATACTAAGATGCCATTTCAAATAACTCAACAAGGCCAATTTACAACGGCCTATCCTTCACACCTTTATCAGCGTAATAAAAAAGATATTGGCGTTTTTCAATCTTATAAAGTGATAATTTCTGTTGATTTTTTCCTTGTCTCTCCTGAATTTATCTGCAATTTACAGAGATTATGAATATTGTACAGTATTAAGTCTTTTGAAAAGAGAAAGGCATTAATGATGATGATTTTTTTATTTAGGTGACTTTAAAATTGGCGAGATTACACCATCAGATTACAAGAATATAGGGATTGAAACATATGAGTTCCTGGCAAAGAATCAATTCTTTCATGATGCATCTTTTAGAAAAATTAAGCAGAGACAATTTACAATTTGAGTTTAAAAACATAATATTTTCAAGTTTGGACCCGTTCAAAGCATTTGACAATATTATTATTTTTTACAAACACAGTGTTAAATTCTAACAGATAATTATAATTGAAAATGTATAAGTTCTGCAGCACAATTGTGGCAGGAAACTCCATGACTTTGTTTACAAAAAATGTGTACTGCAGTTTGTTTACAATCCTTGCAGAATCGGCGGTACGTCTGTAAATAAAGATGACGTTTATCTTATTTGTTTCTTTTAATAAAACTTTAAAAAATAAAAATCTGCCAAATGCTTATTCGTTTTACATATGCATGGATTCAGAGGCACCTCACAGAACCCCAGGGAACGTTTATGGCTGGTCGAACTAAAAAGTTTTGCCAAGAAAAAATGTCGACATTTATTTTTTGAACCAGAAATATTCACAAAAATGTTCAAATTAAAATGGCGACTTTCAGAGCAACAATTAAAAACTCAATAATAGGAGGGCGCGCAGCTCCCTACAAGTCTAGTGTAATATTAACAAAACTGTTCCATACAAAAATACAAAAATATGCGAGAGAGGGATTTCAGGTTTTAAAAAAATATATTTTTTGCGTTTAATCTTAACAAGCCAGAGCAACAAAACACCCGGACAAAACTCCAGAAAGAAAATGAAGAAAAAGAAAATATCTCCAAATAAAAAATATTAACAATTTACATAAGTTAAAAAATCTTAAATAATCTGCTTTTTTATTCATCTATTTTTGGTTACGAACAAAGAATAAGACTTTAATGACAACTTAAAATCCGATCTGTGACATATACAGAAGAAAAAATTGGTTTTGAAAATAGTCTTTTTTTCACGGAGATGAACTATATATATATAAATGTGTTAAATCTGACAGATGGGCAGATTTAACACAAGTGAAGAGATGGTAATTTTGACTACTGAAGATCGCCATGAGACGAGAAACATTATGTTTAGTATAATTCTTTTTAAACTTTATTAAAAAAGAATATATATATATAACAGACAGATGGACAGTTGACAGATGGACATATTCAACACAAGTGAAGAGATGGTTTCAGAGTTTATGGCATAAAAAAACTTTGACATTCTTAAAATTTGACATAGTTTCTTGCTATCCTTCAATTATATTATATTATTGTATTATATTATAATACAATCAACTGCAGGGCTCAACTGGGCCCACAGTATCTACAAAATTTCTAAAGATGTTCTCAAGGTTATTCTACACAGCAGAGAATAATTTTTATTTCAAAACGGAGAATCTTGGACCAAGAAAGGAATAGAAAAATTTGACGTAACCATGCATGGTGCCTACGACGGAGCCGAACTCTGTGAGCTGTTTGGGTTGTACATCCTGAATAAACTACAGAAGATGTTAGGAAAAAATCAGTAATCCCGCCTGGTACAGGAATAGAAAAATTAAGAAAAGAAATGGTTAAGTTCTCAAAGAAATAAGGCCGGGAAGAAACAATGAAGGCAAAAAAACAAAAAAAAAACGCCTAAAACCCCGGACTGAACCAAAAAAAAAAAAGTTCAAAACCAAAAAAAAAAACAAAAGAAGAAACCGCGGAAAATGAAATAAATTCCATCCATCCTCCTAATGTTAAGAAAGAGTTACCTAGAATGATCTGTAGCAGACTATCTAACCTATCCAGCTCAAAAGATATCATCATATGAGGAAGCATTAAAGAATGCAGGCTACAAGGAAAAGCTGGTTTATACAGAAGACAAAGTAAAGAAATCAAACCGGAAAAGGCTTAGAAAAATGATCCCGTTCTATCCACCTTATATATACGCCGCAAATGTTCAAACAAATGTTGTAGCCAAGTTCCTGTCAATAATTGATAAGAATTTTAAAAACACCAACTTAGGAAAATATTTCAATAAATCGAATGTCAAAGTTTCCTACAGCTGCATGGGCAATATGGAGTCGATTATTGCGGTTGGTGTAGCAAGGTGTCCCTTTAAAGGCAAATGTTGGACTCAATCAATTATATACACAAAGCAAAAATATCAACAAATGAAGAAACTTCAGCCTACATTGGAATAACCTCTCATACGTTAAAAGAGAGGTTCTTGAATCACACTAAATCTTTCAATCTCAAAAAATATGAAACCAGTACTAGCGTTTTAAAAAATATATATCCTATTTATAAATTTAGCTTGTCTGTCTGTTTGCTTGTGTCCAATAAACGTCAAAACGGCTGAACCGATCGGGCCCAAATTTTGTGTGGGACCTCAATACTGTACAAAGAGAAGATGCTCACAGATAAAGCCACAATTAAAAGCTGAAAAAGGAGATGGGCGCGATGCGCCCTAATATAGCCTAGTATATATATATTTATATAAATACATACGAAAATAAGTATTCAATACATGATTTGAAGTTTTATTGTCTCCACATTATGTTTCAGGCTAGGCATTCTTCAGGATATAAACATATATATTATATATCCTGAATTGAAAATCATTATCATTTAACCAAACCTAATAGTTAAGCTTGAGGAAAAACAGGAAGCAAGATCAGCCCGCGTAAAATAAGTGTTCACTATGGTTTATAGGGTTACCCATGGTCAAGTTTTAAGACAACGACGCAACACAAAATGTTGGGTACATGACTTTTAATCGATTTCGAGCAAAACAAAATAATAGGAAGACCTTGATATATATAAACCAGATATAGATTTATTGATGTATCGTTTTATTTGTATGCGTGAGCTTGTGCCTACATCCCTTAGCTAAAATAAATTATTAAAGTTACAAATATGAATCCTGAATTGACTGCCTACATATTGTCGATACAATAAAACTTCAAATCATGTTTTGAATACTTATTTTCTTATATATATCATANAGAAAATACTGGACCGTATGTAAGAAAATACTGGACCGTATGTAAGAAAATACTGGACCGTATGTAAGAAAATACTGGACCGTATTTAAGAAAATACTGGACCGTATGTAAGAAAATACTGGACCGTATGTAAGAAAATAGTGCCTTCATTTTTAATGATTTATCTTGAATATTTTTTCCTAAAGTTTTATTTGTTTCTTCTCCCTGTGCCAATCTTCTCTTCATTTTCTCTAGTTCAAGGCTTAATATCTCAACATCTAGCAAAATTAAATGTTCTTTAATGTAACTGATTTTTAAAGGGACTGTAAGCATAATTTAAGTAACCCTCCATGTAAAGATGGCAACGCACGATTTACAATTGTATCATCTTAATCTGATCAAAAATGTGGAAGATTGTTTTTCTGACTTGAAAAGTATTTATTTTTATGAATTCGTTTCCTTTAATAATCCAGATATGCGCAACTCACTTTTGCAGAGACATTGCAAATAAAAATAGACAGTTTAAAGGGACCGTTCACTTACCTGGGTAATTTGATGCTAAACTAAAGGAGTTAGGTACTATCCCAAAGGCATTTTGTCGGTGTTTTATCTGACTAACCTGTATTTTGCTCGTGGATGGTAGGACTTACCTGCAGTTTGCCCATGTTTTGTCTGACTAACCTGTATTTTGTCGGTGTTTTGTCTGACAAACCTGTATTTTGCCCGGGTTTTGTAGGACTAGACTTCATTTCCAACTCCTTCTGTTCTCGTCTCAACCTTTCCATATTCTCTTTCATCTTCTCCTCCTGCAACAATCAATAAAGACCAACAGATTATCAGGTACAAGAAATTACACTAGAAACGCCAACATGTCTACATTTTAGCCGGATTGGAATTGAGTCTTTGGAACAAAATCAAATATTTAAACCTCAATACCTTTAGAACCCGATGTTGTAAACCTTTGATATTTCAAACTCAGATTATTTGATCTAACAGAATTCATAGTTTGAAATATCTAACGTCTGCAACATTTGGTTCCAAAGATATAGTGATTAGAAAATAAGAAATCGTGGCAAAGACTCAATTCCTTGAAGAGCATCATTGAATAAAACTCCCAAGTTTCCTTTTTGTGTAGATTTTTATGTAAGAAGTACAAAACTATAAAATATTCAAATCTACAAAATCTAAGTGACCCATTCGATACCCTGTATTAAAAAAAAACACAGTGTAATCAATGCAGCTTTGTTACACACTAAGGATGAGACTTTAATAACGACTTGAAACTCTTTAAATATAAAGATAGGAAGGTTTAGTTTGTACAATAAATGTACATGTTTTCACAAAAGAAACAACTGTGCAGGAACAGGGTACTAGGAATTACAGAAAAGAAATTAAAGGGAAAGTTTTGGTCGGTAGAAATAAAGAAAAAAGATCAACCAAGTTTAATCGTAATTTACAATTGTAGAAATCCAATAAAAGGGGATATTTTTAGCGTCTTTAAAAGTTTTATGATGGTGTCATCATGGAGAGCAACATTTAACAACATATTATTATTATTGAAATAGTAATGGATTATACAATTAGGATATATAATAAAGTATCTCTTTATATAAAAGTAACACGAAACAACTTAATCCATATTTCGACCGACCCTTTTTTGCAATGAGAGATTTTAAACTGTGCTATCAAAAATCTAAATAACTAAAACAGCTCAAATAGTTTAAATTCTAAAAATTTAGATTTTGTTAATTTTGTTAATTTTGTTAATTTTGTTAATTTTGTTAATTTTGTTAATTTTGTTAATTTTGTTAATTTTGTTAATTTTGTTAATTTTATACCTTTCTTCTAAACTCTCTATCCATTTGTTCAGCTTGATTTCTTGTAGTACTAATAAATAAATCATTCAAAAAATATAAGAAAATTATCTAAATAACAATTGGCACAATTTTTTATTTTTGAGAATGAAAGGAATATTTTGACAAAAATAAAAATAAAAGAAGATCTTTTGAAATGTTAACAAAGATAATTATTTCATCTGTAAACAAAGATTATTATTGCGTCCTACCTGATGATTAGCTCTAGGTCTCTACTAAGAGTTGCATTCTCCCTGGCAATCTGCTCCATCCGTCCTGAGGTCTCAAGCATCCTTTGCTCCCGGAGCAGAACGTTGTCCTTTAACTCTCGGATCTCAGTCCTGAAAAATACAAAACATGCTTAGATTATTCAAATGTCAATTTTTTTTCTTCAAAATTTACATATTTTAAACAATGTAACGTGCAAAGATTATAATTTTGGGTGATTATTTTTTTCTAACAAAATGTTCAAATTTCAAATGACCTTAAATTTAAAAGTTACATTTTCGATTACCAACGGTACCAGACTTACGCTGAGAAAAATGATGTAGAATTCATCTATTTCAAGATAGATGATATCCTCCAAATTGTTCCTTAGATAAAACGTTTAAATAAAGGGCCTTTTTGAAATAACTTTCAACAGTCTCTTTAATTATGCTAAAAAGCATGAAAAAACAAAATCACATTTTATTTTTGCAAAAATATTTTAATCAAGGATTTAATGCAAGGAAAGTTATTTCAGAAGTCTACGCATGTTTGTACTGCAGTGTACTGTCACTGGGCGGTAATGTAAACACAAGACGGATGTCGAAGCCTGAAATGAGATCCATCTTTCACAAAAATAATCAATGAAATATTCTGGTCATAGGAAACTATTATGTGAATTATGAAAATTATCAAAATTAAAATGCTTTTAACCTCCTCGGATACTAAACGAACACTGAGGCATCTAATCTTGTTTACAAATTCCGCCCAGAGAGAACTGGTTTCAATATGTACGGAGAGTATACGCAACTGCAATTAACTTTAATTTCATTACATTCTTGATTTCAATTAACCCTCCATTTAAAGAATGGGGCATTTCGTCGGTTTTCTTTCTAAAAATGTGCAGAATTCTGTTCATTTCCTTTAATGTATTTAATACATATAAACGTAAGCCACGTTTATGTAAGAGAACCCACAATTTAATTTAATCAATTTTCAGCGAGACAAATAAGAAAATTTCGTTTATCCAATTGATCAGACAAAGGTTTCACTCTAGTATGCCGATCCAATCAGGGTTCAACCATGTGTTTGGTGCCTATTCTGAACCAATAGAAATTGCATGGCGGTAACATCTATCATTCTATCTATCTTATTATCCAATTAGAGAAAAATCCTTATATCGGCGCTAACAGTAAATAGAAATATTTACCTCTACTGAAACTATAATGGTTTAGAGTGTATAAATACATGAATCGGATACGCCACTTCAAGAAAAATCAAATTACGTCTGCAGTACTTGTAAGTCAGTACCTGAGTTCTTGTATAATGATATCTGCAAATGTATCCTGTTCCTGTTCCCGTTCCTTTTCCTGTTCCTGTTCCTGTTTCAGTTCCTTCTTATCTTCTCTTCGGCTAGTTTGTACTTGTTTATCACTAGTAAAATAATCTAATACGTTTTTTTAACAATGATTTGGGTTTTGCGCAAATATAAAACTTATTTTTTTTGTTAAAAGGGAGTGTTCGCGAAAAATGAAAGGGGGTAAAGGCTAACGTCGAATCGAATTCGATGGTGATCGCTACTAATCTTACTTCTATCTATTGCGTCTGTAAGGAGAAAATGGTTAAACATGACTCCTACGGAAGAGCGTAGCGTCCATAAAAATTCACAAATGAATTGAGTCTTTGCCACAAACTCAAATTTTCTAATCTCTCTACCTTTGCAACCTGATTGTGTAAACCTTTGATATTTCAAACTTAGATTTTTTTCTAACAGAATTCATAGTTTAAAATATCTAAGGTTTGCAACATTGTGTTGTTTAGATGAAGGGATTAGAAATTCAGAGTTTGTGGCAAATACTCAGTTCCTTTACATTATTTCACTCAGATAGTAAATAATTCAATAGAATTTAAAATTAATCATTCCTTTATAAAAAGCTGGTTATTTGGTATGCAACAATTTTCATTTAATCCCGCCCCCTTTTAAAATAATATTGAATAATAAAAATAATTTGTTATTTTTAACAAAGGAATGTCATTTACTCTCAGACAAATTAGAATCAATGGAAAGGAATTAAGTCTTCACCACAAATCTCTATTTCTTTGCAACCCAATGCCGTAGACCTTAGATATTTCAAAATAAAAATTTTGTTATATGAAAGAATCTAAGTTTGAAATATCAAAGGTTTACACCATCATGCATCAGGGGAAAAAAATATAGGTATTAGAAAATCAGGGTTTGTTACAAAGACTGCCCCCTTTTAAAATAATATTAAATAATAAAAATAATTTGTTATTTTTAACAAAGGAATGTCATTTACTCTCAGACAAATTAGAATCAATGGAAAGGAATTGAGTCTTCACCACAAATCTCTATTTCTTTGCAACCCAATGCCGTAGACCTTAGATATTTCAAAATAAAAATTTTGTTAGATGAAAGAATCTAAGTTTGAAATATCAAAGGTTTACACCATCATGCATCAGGTGGAACAAATATAGGTATTAGAAAATCAGGGTTTGTTACAAAGACTCAATTCCTTTAAACCCCCGAGGGTCCATTGGGTCTGAGAGTAAATGATACATTCAGAGATTACAGCCTATAATCATTGAATTTAATTCGATGCACATGTAACGTAAATAGTTGTTTTTACTTTGGAAATATTTTATCTTAATTAAGGGTTGTGGATAAAAGCACACGCATAAAAAAACGATATATCACTAAACCTGTTTCCAGTTCGTTTTCAAAGTCTTTCTATTTTTTGTTTTGCTCAAGAATGATTAAAAGATGTATACCCAACGTTTCGTGTTGTGCCGTTGTCTTATTATTAAAAACTTGACATATGGGTGTCTATAAACCAAAGTGAACCCTGTTCTACGCGGGCTGATCTTGTTTACTATATTTCCTTAATCTTAACTATAGATTATCATATGAGATATAGACAATAAGAAAAATTGTTAACAGACGCATTAGCGTTGATTTGCTAATGACTTAAGGAAAATGGAACTCTCAGACCCAATTGACCCGTCCGTCCTTTTTTTCGTCAGACATTTACTAATATTTACTTATATTTTTTATTTGTTATTTACTTTAAATGACGAATTTTTGGCGGCAAGGTGTCTCTGCTCTCGACGCTTCAGCGATTCCACGAGGGAGAGACACCTATGCGACCAAAAATATCATCTTTTAAAGTACATCCTATATTAAAAAAATAAAAAATATTATGAAATATCAACTATATGCATCGAATTAAGTTCGATAATAATAGGTTATGATATCGGAGTGGTTATTTTTAATCTTAATTTAATTATTGATGATCTGAGTGAAATATTGCAACTCCAGGAATTTGCATGGACGCTACATTCTTCAGTATAAGTCGTGTTTAACCATACAGACCCAACATATAGAAGTAAGATTTGAAGCAATCACCATCGAATTCAATTCGATGTTAGCCTATACCGCCTTTCATTTTTCGCAAACACTCCCTCAAATTTTAGAAGAATTTACTTATTTTGAATTATTGAATATTGATAAACAATTATCATTCAGAATTGATATCAAAATAAATAAATGTTTAGCTCATCATGAAAACTTCAATTATATTAACTTTACAAATTTCAAAGATCTATTGTTCAATATTTGACATTTCCTCCCCTTAAAATGTCAAATTTTGACAAAGTTCAAGTATTGATATTTCCTCCCCTGGAATTTTACAATATCGATCAAGTACAGTTTATGATATTTTCTCCCCTGAAAAAAAAGCTTACCTTATACTAACTTCACGAACTGGGATCTTGTCTAAGTCAAAATGAAGATTATCACAATCCTGATTTTCTTCATACTGGGTCCATCTAAAAAACACTTTAACTTTATGTACTTAAGATTTTTTTAGATATGAACCTATGTAAGAAATTCAAGGGAAAAAACCTGGAAATAAATACTTGGAGCAAAGTCCAATTTTTCCAAGTCCCGAAGAAAAATAAAATTGGAAATAAATTTCTGGGTTTTATATTCCTGAGACTTTTTCTCCCAAATCCTAAAGTTCTAGGAAAAGGCACAACATTAAAAGGCATTGAGACATTTTATGCAGTTAAAGAACTTTTTTAGTGCCGAATTTTAGGAATTTAATTTTCCAAAACTTATTTAAAAGAACTTTCTTTAGCGGCTACCACTAATTACATGCCCTTAATGCATGTACTGATGTACACTGCTCCGTGTGCACTGTACAGCAAATATGATATTTTAAGTACTTTTTAATCCAAGCCCGTAACCAGGATTTTTCCAGGGGGTGCAAATTTTTTTTTAAGCAATGCTTGGTTTGTTTTTAAGGTGGTATATGGTTTTCTTTATTACATTGTCAATGTACGCTATAAAGATTAACCTTTTTAACAAGATGAATAAAAAATAAAATTTCTAATATTTTGTTTAAAAGAGTTTATTTATTGACATTGAGACATTCTTAGTGAATTTTTGAGTACTCAAAAAACCCTTCTACTTTGACTAAAAATGACAAATATCCTCGCTTAAAATAATGTTTTTGAAACTCCCAAAAATGGCTATTTTATTCCAAAATAAATGGATGATTTTTTTCCTTTTAACCAACTATTCAAACTTTAAAGGATGTTTTATTTTGTATAAGTTCTGGATTTCAGAGATGTCAAGTTTGACATCTCTGTGCATAGCCAAGTTGAGCATAGCCAAGGGCCACACACACCCACTTTTTGGTCCAGGCGCTGTGGCCACAAGTCCATATAGCATGGCTGTAAAATCACGTGCTAGTAGGTCGGATGTGAAGTCTAGCGGATTTGGTGTAGTTCAAAAATACACCATCGAGTTTTATCAATACAATGAAGACAACCTTTAAAATAATGCTTTGATTCCTAACATGCAAGGGACCGATTTGCCTCAACTTTCAAGTGGGAAATTTCTTAGCTGAGTTTTGAGATTTTAGGTTGAGTAAGTTGACTTTTATTTTGAAGATTTAGTTTCCCGGTAAAATCGACCAATTGCTGGTAAACGGCGGGATTAACTAAAAGTAACTTGAGTAACGCTGGGTTCCCAAGCTAGTAAAGTAATATTTTATTACCTGTTTTGATAAACTGGTTTCCTCTCCTTTTCACTTCTTTCTTCTTCTTTCCTCTCTTTTCTTCTTTCTTTTTCCAACTGTTTTATATTTTGTTTTTGTTGAAATAATTCATTAAACTCCTGTTTGATTTCTTCTCGGGAACTTTTTCTAAAATATAAAAATTGTGAATAATTTATAAACAACCAAATTTTGATATTTTAGTATATATCTCTGTTTTTGCAGATTCAAAACATTTACTACTGAAACCCGGAACGTTCTGCATTCGTTTATCTGAGCTGAAAACTTTAGAATGGTGGATATCGAGATCAATGCGTTATCTCCTCTTTTTCTTAATCTCGAGATTAAATAATGCTGGTTCTCCACTTGTTATTAATCTCCAGATTAATTAACCGATCGGGATTAAGGATATTCCATTCTAAAGTTTTCAGCTCTGAAGAGCTTTTTTCACAATGGACTAGGGTCAATTTGAATTGGAAACGGACCCCTTGTACACCTTTTACCCCTTGTACCCCTTGTACCCCTTGTACCCCTTGTATCCCTTGTATCCCTTGTACTCCTTGTACCCCTTGTTCCCCGGCCTTGTACCGGTATTGGTGACGCGCGGCAAGAACCACCCTGCCCCTTTCCAATGTCAGCCCAGTTAAAATTTTGATGGAGCGCAGCCAGACTTTTTACAGCACCAGACTTATTATAGGCATAATTTACCTACCCCACTAGCTTCATGTCTTTTAGAAGGAGAAAATTAAAGGAAACTTCTAATATGCAACCTGTTTAATCAGAACTAGAAGAGCTAAGAGGTTACAAAGTGATACCGGTATTTTCCCATTAATTTGAACTTTTCCTCTTGTTTGGGCCCCGATCAGCTTTGTTTACAAATAAAGTGTACTGCATCTTCTATGAGAAAAATAAACAAAGCTGCTAGCTGCACTGCTGCTGTTTACACTCCCAGCAACTGCAGTAAACTGTTTCTGGCATATCTTTAAACTATAACCTGTCTCCGTTAAGCGGTGATGACTGTGGAAGATTTCCTCCCTGATTTCTTCTGCTCTGCTCCGACCCGGAGAAATCTGCTCTATGCGACCTGGGACCGAATTATTGACTTGGAGAGGTCACTAAACTAACTGCCACCGGTTCAAATCCTGAATCACTGATTCAAATCCTCATGCACCTCTAACTTTGAATCGGTGATTCAAGATTTGAACCTGCGAGCGATCTGGCTCTAATTCATTAAATTCGGTCCCTGGTTCTTGAATCTTGCTTTCCGGTATGCCCAGAGGAGATACTGATTACATCATCTAAAAGCAAAAAAAAACATTTTAAAATTTTCTGCTGAATTCAAGAATTTACCAGAAAATCTGAAAAGCTTTTAATTTTAAATTTTTTTGCTACTCATTCGAAATTTTTCATATGCATATATTGTTGACAAACGGCTTTTTAAGCATATATTTTATTTTTGAGATAAACATTTTCAATAGAGTGAAAAAAGCAAAACACTGAGACAAAATCATACAATTTTGAACGTTGTATTTCTCTTAAAATTAAGTATATTACGTAAATGTAAATGAAGAAAGGATTATTTCTTATTCAAAAAAACACTTTGAATGATAAAATATAAGATTTCACTCTAAGACAAAACTTACTTTAGTTAAGTGAAAAAAAAGAAAAAATAGTCAGAATTTTTTATTCACCTAATCCATTTAGCGTATCATCATCTGAGGACTGATGTTTGTGTGTTTTGGAATCCGACCCAACCAAACTTCTCTTCTCCGTCCCGGAGATTTCATTTTTCTCCGACCTTATTTCTTTCTTCTCGAGCATTTCATTCATTTGATTTTTGCTTCCTCCGCCCATAGAAGAGTTATACCTAAAAACGAAGTTAGTGCGGAAATTTGCGTTTTATCGCATTTTTGGGATTTTGATGTCTTAATATACTTTTCAGCTCATTAGAAATAGTGGTTGGAATTAGATGCGATACATTGAAAATTTGCCAGGGGTAAGAATTGATGATTAAGGAGCAGGGGATGAACTACATTGCTAACCAGAAAACAGTAGAATGATTCTGAATGAAGCAGTACCTTAAAGAAAAAATACGGCTAAACCACTTCAGCGTGGTCGGCGATTTTTAGGTAATGTTACATCGTCTATACGCAACATTACTGAATTTCTGACCTATTAACTTTCCGACCTACTGCAATATCGGACCTATGCCAGCTGTTCATTTCTGGGCCGAGCGCTGCGGCTAAGACAGGCTAGGGGTCCAGGCGCTGTGGCCACAAGTCCATATAGCATGGCTGTAAAATCACGTGCTAGTAGGTCGGATGTGAAGTCTAGCGGATTTGGTGTAGTTCAGAAGTGGAGTATAGCGGATTTGCATAGGTCGAAAAATACACCATCGAGTTTTATCAATACAATGAAGACAACCTTTAAAATAATGCTTTGATTCCTAACATGCATTTTTCAAATTACATGTTTACTAAATAGATTATCAAGTACAATAGGTGTCAACAGAGAAATGGACCGAGTTTACAAGTGTCAAAAATAACAAGTAAAACAAAATTTTCTCACAATAGTTGAGATGTTTTCCAAAATTAAATAAAAAATGTAAAAACAGAAAATAAAGAACACATAAAATTGCACTTTTTTACTGTAAGATGGCACTTTATACAAAAATAACCCTATAATTGACAATTTTTGTTGGACACAAAAACTGAATTGACACTTGTGACGTCTGAATACAGCTGTCTGGGAATGTTCAAATTCTACGTTGCCATATTGTACTAGAATCTATTTGAAATTTAAGAGTAAACAAAGAAAAGTTAAAAATTGACACTTTCCCCCTGGTTCAATGTCCTGGTTCAATGTCTATTTGTCTCTGCTGTTTGTAAGATTGGTTAAAACCAAAATGAAAATAGGAAGTCGTCTTCATTGAAGAAAAATGTGAATTACCCTAGTTGAGGTTTAAGCGCTAGATTCTCCAGGCTGAACCCATCCTCGATTCTATCTTGCCTTTCCTTGACTCTTTCACCATTGTCAAGCCTTTCCTTGACTCTTTCTCTCTTGTTACGCTTTTCCTTGAACCTTCCTTCATTTTCTGGTCTTTTCTTGGCGTGTATTGCTTTTACAGCGGCCGAATATTCTTTTTCACTAAAGAATAAAAAATTTTAAAAATGTTTTTTTTAAATTCTGAATATTTGAGAAAGTTTTGAGAAAAATTAACTGACCTGTAATAAAGCTGTGCTAAATCGTCGATAATTTTATCCCTAAAATCAGCCAAAAGTTAATAGTTATATAATTATTAATTAATTTAAGTCTTAAAGGGAATATAGTATAAATTTCAAACATTTACAGCATGCATTTCAGATTGAAAACGGTCACTTTAAAACTTGACTAAATATTAATGATACGTCCTGGTTAAATTCTTCAAAATTATATTATATTATAATTATATTTTCCATTGTGTTTTGACGGACAGCAAGAACCAAAATGTGCATTGTGCACGCTCTCACGCAAAAAAAAATAATAGCAGTATTTAGCTAATTACAGTCCCAATCAGAAAGACCCGTAATTAATTTACAATTAATCAGACGACTTTACAATCTAATTTTACAATTATAATTGATGATACGATCATCATAAATAGACCTATACTCTTACCGGGTCCAAAACGTGGTCTGCCTTTCTTTAACATTTGAAATTGCCAGAAATATATATGTAAAGTCGTCTGATTAACTCTCAAATAATTCCGGGTCTTTCTGATTATGAAGCTCTACTTCTTTTTAACTTAAGCTAGAAACAAGGAGTAAGTTAAAGAATGCAAAACAGTATAGTTGTGACATGGTGAGGTAAAACCGTTGCGACACTTTAAAGTTACTTTGCTGTCCACAAAACTCCCACTTAACTATACATATTTTCTCTTTAAAAGTTTTCGCGTAAAAAGCTCAAAATATTTAAATTTATTTTCCAGTATTAGTATTTATATAATTAATTAAGAAGTGATGTGCAGTGAAATGGGTTCGTTTAGATTCTTTTCAAAGGATGCAAACAAATATGAGAGGTTTTGCAATTTTTTAAAACTGTTTATTCCAAACATATGCTTTTTTATACCAAGAACCAAAAACGAACCATTGTTTTTTTCTTTTGCAGCATTTTAAAATACTGCATCTACATATTCTTGGAGGTTTACCCCTTTAAACATATATTGTTCTTTAAACAGTTTTTGTTCAATTTCGATGGGTCTAAAGATAAGATATTTACCTAAACCTAGTTTCTACAGAACTAAACTCGTCCTTGAGCTCATCTTGTCCTCGTCCTCCCGTATCCTCGTCCTGGAACTTCTCCTTCGAATCCGTCCCTGCCAGGTTCAAGACGTTTCTCCAAGTGCTCATGTTGACTGGGTAGGTCTTCTTCTCCCCCTGAGAGCTGAACTGCTCAAGATATTTATCTAGAAAAGGTTTATGTACAAGGTGTCTCTAAAATAAACCAGTAAATGAAGCCTCGAATTTGAACCAATTTTCGTTTTTTAGGTATTTAATCTTTAATGAAAAATTTGCTTACCCAATGCGTTTTGATCACAGACTGAGCAGAATGGATTGTTTGAAGATTTCTTCTCTTCTTTCTTATCTTTATAATATTATCATTAGTTTATTATTATCATTATAGTTATTGTTATAATTGTTATCATTGTCATTATTTATTATTTTTATTTTTATTATTATTATTATTATTATTATTATTATTACTATAATTATTATTTTCAATTAATAGTCAATTTTTTTCTTATTACAAATCTTTATTCTTTATTGTTATTATTTAGATTTTTATAATCATATCAATTATTATCGCTATAAGTGATCATTTCAATTAATAGTCAATTTTTTTCTTATTACAATTACTTGTTTTACGAAGAAAGTAAAAATAATGATTAAAATACCTAATCCAACATTTATAACTCCTCCAGGATTCCAAGCAGGCTTTTTAGAAGAACTTTTTATCTCTTGAACAACTCCGTTCTTGTCAACCTGGAAACTCCAGGTTTTCTCCTGTACCCTTCTCCTGGTGGTCTGGTTTACTGACGTGTTTACTTTAGGTTTGTACGCAGAACTTGCGTAAGTTTTTATTTGAGTTTTAGGAACAGGTTTTATTCTAAATCAGGATTTTTTTAATTATTTTTTTATTTTTTTTTTATTTCTTACGAACCTGGGTCTAGAAACAAGAAGAGGTTTAGGATGAGGGTTTACGGGTTTTGACTCTCTCCCTCCCTCTTGTGTAGGTTTAGGATGATTATTAGGATGCAATAAACCTCTCCCTCCCTCTGGAATCCTTCCTCCCATCACCTCTCTCATCATAAACAATCTAAAATGCAATAAATGTATATTTATTTTTGCTGTTTTGAAAAGCTAGGTACTGTTAAAATGGGGATTTTCCATCAAGCATTTATTGTAAAAATCTGAAAAAAGAACAAAAAAATGTTCCAATAAATGTTTACTTATAATTTGCTGTTTATTCATAAAATTGCGAGAATTGCATTTTTACTTGTGATTTAGTAAAACATTGATTTTTCAGTCACGCTTATCTTTCTCATATAATTCTTTTTTAAAAATATTTAAATCTTAACAGAAAATTATGTCGCGCATTTTTTTTCTGTTTAAATTTAATTTATTAACTATTTACCAACTAATTTTGTAGTAAACTTTTTTGTTTTTGTTTTAGTCAGATACAAAAAGAAAAGATAATTATTCAATTAAAAGATTACTTGTAATATTTCTCATAAACAAACGTGCACCTTTTTATCAGTCGTGAGAAGATTTTTTTATTTGTTGAATAGAGTTATTCTTAAAACATGAAATTTTAATGAATACTTTAAACTTAATTTTTCGCATTTCTAACTTTATAGAAATGTGATATTTTGTAATGTTCGTGTACTTTTAAACGGCCCTTGTATTATAAGTACAATAAACATGGTACACCATTTTTTCAAAAAGTTTTAATACCGAAACAAATCTTTCAATTCGGCATAAAAATGTTTTGTGTAAACACTGTATTTATGTTAGTATTAAGTATTAAGTATAACGTACTATAGTTGTATTAAATGTCTCAGATAAAATATCAACTAAAGAATGTATTATGAGAAAGCTACCATTATCACTATATCCCTTTAAATACCATTGGTTGTAAATCAGGTAGATAGATAGATAGATAGATAGATATAATTTGACAGATACGTCAAGCACTACGAATAGATAGATAGTACCTGCTTTCAAAACTACATTCTATTGTAAATACTGGAGTGTACGACATAATGTTTGTTTATAAAACATTTTTGGAACTTTTCAGACTTTATGATATATTTTAAGCTTTGATACAGTGAGCACCATAAAAATTCTGAATATCATATTAGCTCTCATACACTAGCAAAATCATTTCTAAATATTAATTTCGTAAAAGGTTTTTATTTGAATACTCTAATACAGAGTTACCCACGAAGGATGAGACTTCAGAGACGACTGTACAGAATGTATGTGGTCTGTTTTCTTATAATCAACTTGTTAATTTTTTAACAAATCATTAAATAAGCCATAAAACGACTAAAGTTAAGGCAGAAGACTTTGATAAACCTTGAAATTATTATAATCAAATTGTTTAGGTCGTCTTTACAGTGTCAGCCTTTGGGGGTATCCCTGTACCTTTTAAAAATTAACAAAGGAAGAAATAACATTTTAGCAGAAAATTTTTTAATCAGAATAAAAGAAAATGGCTTTTGAGGCTCTTTTAAATGAATTGGATAGGGTAGGGGAGGAGGAAGGACAAGGACCTGGAATATACAGGTTAAACAAACTTTAAAAACCAAGAAGAAAGGAATTGAGTTTTTGCCACAACATCAAATTTTCTAATCCCTATATCTATGGAACCTGATGTTGTAGACTTTTGATATTTCAAACTAAGATAATTTGATGCAACAGAATTCATAGTTTAAAATATCTAAGGTCTACGACATTGGATTGCAGATATATAGGACATAGATAATTAGAGTTTGTGACAAAGACTCAAATCCTTTATCCCAAAACTCTGGAGGGTTATATCAATAAGATTGCTAAAGGGACTGTCGTTTTTTAGGAGACCTTTCAGTTGTAGGGTTCATATCCATAGTCGCACTGTATTCGGCACCCATTAAACCTTTGTCTGAGGAACCATGAAGAAGATATTGTCCTTTTTATATCTTCTAAAGATATTTAAATTCCGTTCATCCTTGTCTATGCTGCATACATCTGCAAGTATTTTCATAGAGAAACTCCATTAAAAATTATAAGCTTTCAAATAGGAAAACCAGGACAATTAATAACTCCGCTATGGAAAAGGTTTAAAGCAAACCATCATTATGCATTTAGTCACTCGCAGTTTCATCGTTAATTCCTTTAGAATTTAAACCATTGTAAACTAGACAGAGCGACACTGTTACGACTTTATGACCTCGTAACAACACTTTAGTTTTGATTTTATGCCCATGTATGAGAAAAGCAAATTATTTGGTTACAAAAACCTTTTTGTCCTTTTAAATAGCCCTTCAATACGTAGTAGTTAAGATTAAAAACATAATTTATCAATTCTGGTGGGATAATAACCAAAACAGTGTAAGCTACTCTCCACAGCTATTTGCTATGGTTTATATCAAGGGGGCTGATTCTTAGCTACCTCTCCGTGTGTATTAGTCTGAGCCTACACTTGGGATAGTTTACTGATAAAGGATTTTAAGGGATTATGGCCTATTCATACAGTACAAACATCAAATGTGCAGTAGGCTCTTGGAGTGTAAGTGTATGGGGAGGTTTTGTATCTTGAATTTTACCCAGTTTTATCAGAACAGTTTATTAACGATGAAATATTGCTCTGTAAAAGACCGTAAATGTACGTCTTCCTGTGAAAATGGAATCCTGCACACAATAAAGGAGTAGTGGATTTTAATAGTTACATAGGAAAACAAATTCTCCATTTAAATATTTTCAGAAATCACCCCCGAGTACTGTAATATACAGATTGACCTTTGGAAGTGAAGTACATGGCCTGTACAATTAGTAAAGGATTAGCGTATACATCATTACTCTATATACTATAACCTCGTTGGTTTATATGTAAACAATATAAAGGTGCACATTTTTTGCCTGTAACATAATAATTGTTATATGTATTGTTAGCAATAAATTTATCTTATCTTATCTTATCTTATCTTATCTTATCTTATCTTATCTTATCTTATCTTATCTTATCTTATCTTATCTTATCTTATCTTATCTTATCTTATCTTATCTTATCTTATCTTATCTTATCTTATCTTATCTTATCTCATCTTATCTTATCTTATCTTATCTTATCTTATCTTATCTTATCTTATCTTATCTTATCTTATCTTATCTTATCTCAGGTTCAATTTATCATAGTTTGACGTGATGCTATTCTTATTTTAGATGCCGGGACAATATTGGCAACTTTAAAATCAGAGTTAAAGTGAAAAAACTTCGTCAAGGTTCGGAGAGGGATGAATCTATTCGGAGTAAAGAATCCTCCGCTGTCGGAGAACCTCCGCAGGAGGAGGAGGAGGAAGAGGAAGAGATAGAACTAAATTGGCAGCAGAAGGTAATCTCACTACCATAGTATAGATAGATCAAAAAGCTCTCCTGCAAAAACCTCCAAGTAGTTTTCCAATTCATTCTTAAAAACTATAGCTAAAAAACAATGCTCTATAGTTCTAAAATGTACATATCCAAGGCTACAAACAAAATATTTAGTTAGTCAGGTAAAACTAATGGCCAAGGCGGTGCGACGCTTCAAAGACGATCTAGTATATTAGTATATATAATATATTGATGCAACTTTGTATAATATTGAATCTATGTGGTAAGACATATGTTTGTACTATTGCCATTGGTACAGCACTATATAAAATGTCCTTAAATGTACTGTAGATAGAATTTCAAGTAGCTCTAAATTTATTTACCATATCCGATTGACAAAACCATGCCTGGAACAGATCTGATCAAGATTGCACGAGATATTCATATTTTGTTCACTAAAAATTGATTATTCTCAATTGTAGGTTTACAAAATAGACTTCCTTCAGAACCTGCAATAGAGTAAATTTTTAAACTAAAAAATCAAAAAACTAAATTAATCAAATAAAGATTTAGCGTACACAATGTGCTATCAATGAGAACTCTGATATATTGTTAGTGTTCAGTAGATCAGAGTTCAGACAATTCGCTAACAATGAGAACTCTAATATATTATAGGTATTCAGTAGATCAGAGTTCAGACAGTACGCTAACACTGAGAATCCTGATGTAGAGATTTCTACCCCTGTTCAGAGGAAATTAATCTGCCAGGCCAAAATAATGTTCAGTGACGGATATATTCCAAAAAACAGGTTGGCTGTAAAATATTTCAGTTTTTCTGTTCTAATGCAGTTAAATTCTACAAAATGAATTAAAAAAGACGAAATAAATTTTGAAAAGATCATTTTACAAAAATTTTAAAGCCTTTTAAGTATATGGAGCAAGTACAGTGAATCCATAGCAAGAGTTTTACTAATGTCGTATTACATATTTAAGATCAAATGCCGAGGAAAAATGAGTTTAATATTAATATATCAATTGCATTTATATTTCAGGGCTGTTAATTTACCTTGAATTAAAAATTAAAAGAAGTTTTTTTAGAATTATCAAAAAACTTATGCCCGTCTATGTATTCATATATCTGGGATGTACTGTAGTCCAATAAACTTACAGATTATATACGGTAAATCGAGAGGGAGGAATATTTGATTGATTGATTGTTGTTTAGAATATATACAGAGGTGGAGGGGGAGAAAAATAGGGAGGAAGATTTTACTCCTTGTACCACCGATACCAGGGAGGAACCTAGCTCACTTCTACTCCTGGTACAGGACGGAGTCAGGTAAACACATTATTATTATCAAATAAACATTGTAACCAATTTAGACCATGATTTACGATTACTTTAAATAAAAAAATTGCATAATTATTAATATTATTATTGTTGTTATTATCAGACGGCGGGTTGGGTTTAGTGGATCCTCAGCTCCCCCAACTAGGAATATTGTAGTGGAGGAGCCAACTATAGAATCTCAACTACGGAATCATATTGTAGTCAGACAAACACAAACAATGGTAAAAATACGATTAACAGAGTTCTTCAACATGCAGTGAGACCCAATAAATTGTAGAGAAGGAAGACTAAAGTTATAATTTTAAATAGTCCAGAGCTGAAAACTTTAAAATGGTGGATATCGAGATTAATGCTTGATCCTCTCTTTTTCTTAATATCGAGACTAAACTAATCTTGTACTTGTATCCTGAAAAGTGTATAAAATTCAACCAATCAAAGTAGCATTATGAAGCCGATAAATCAAAATTTTGTGCGCCATTTAATATTAATAAACAGAAATCGGTTTTTTATTTTTCTCTACTATATCCAAGAAAGAACGGTTTTAAAAGAAAATTAAAAGTGTGTCCATTGGTCAATCAGATTAAATAATCGGGATTAAGGATATTTCAATCTAAAGTTTTAAGCTCTGTGACCATGAAACACAGAAAGTGTGCATTGATCTCCCACCCATTTCACTTTTCATGTTTATTTTCAAGATACTGGTAAACCTATTTGCCTTTATAACATCATTATATACAGAGTGTCCTACGAAACATGACAGTAGCAAGACGACTTGAAAGTCGTCTTTGATCTTGGAATTTATTTGTGACATTCAGTCTTGAAACAATAACCGCTAAATTCTCACAGTCCTGGCATTTCCAAAATGTGGTCTGCCTTTTTTGTGCTGTCAATATTTCCGGAGATATTAAGAATTGTGTTCTGATTTTAATTTTGTTAAATAAAACCAGAATTGTCGAAATCTCAACAAAATTCTTCATATTTTGGTTAATATTAAAAGCAGAAAAAAAGCTTACCACATTTTGTAAATTCCAGGACGAGGAGTATTTTGTAATTATTAACTCTAAAATTTTACTTTAAATGATAGGGTGACACAGAAATGCAGAGAATTTTATCAAAAACAAAGACGACGTTCAATTCGTCTTGCTACTGTCATGTTTCGTGGGACACCCTGTGCATACAAGATTGTATAGATGTCGTCTTATTACTCCACAGTTTTATGGGTCCCACTGAATCAAACATGACCCGAAGACAGTTCAACCTATCAAACGGTCAAAGTGCATCAGCATTAAGCTGATATGAATAGTTTTACGAGGACGCATAAAATTTGTCTGATTTGAGATTTATCTTTTATTCTCATATTCTTGGAGAAGTATATTGTCCGCAATGAAACAAATTAAGACTTTACACAAACAATTTAAATTAATGTTTTGTATATTTAACTATCTATAAAGTTTGATATTTTCGAAACATAAAGTTGGACATTTTCTGTATGTAAAGCTGGTTATTTTTAGTACATAAATTTGGATATTTTCAGTACATAAAGTTGAATATTTTCAGTTTCTGTACATAAAATTGGATATATTCAGTATATAAAACTAGATATTTTTAGTTTACAAAGCTGGATATTTTCAGTACATAAAGTTGGATATTTTCTGTATATAAAACTGAATATTTTCTGTATATAAATGTATATAAAACTGAATATTTTCTGTATATAAATTTGAATATTTTCAGTACATAAAGCTGGATATTTTTAGTAAATAAATTTGGATATTTTCAGGTTATAAAACTGGATATTTTCAGTATATAAAACTGGATATTTTCTGTACATAAAGCTGGATATTTTTAGTACATAAAGCTGGATATTTTCAGTACATAAAGCTGGATATTTTCAGTACCTAAATTTTGATATTTTCTGTACATAAAACTGGACATTTTCAGTACACAAAGCTGGATATTTTCAGTACATAAGGCTGGATATTTTCAGTGCATAAAGCTGGATATTTTCAGTACATAAAGCTGGATATAGGAACGCCGGAGGAGATTATAATTTGTACAGTTTTATACTCTTCCCAAGGTACTAATTAATTTCATCGTTCTTTTTGATTTACTTTTAAAACTTGTTAATTTTTGAATTTGAAACATTTCTACTATTTTTACCTGTGTGGTTTATTTTTAGAACAAAAATTTATAGATCAAGCTCGAGTTTGAATTCTTATATTTAAACTTGAATCCAGAAATTAAGAAAACAAAATTTGTTATTATTGGAACGTTCATTTCACTTGGTACGTTTATGTTCTCCAGGAGAGCTGACCGTATCCCCAGATTTCACCTGGAACAGTCGACCCTACTCACTAGAGCTGGAGGGGTCAACTTGGCAACTATGGATCCAACATGCATCAAAGGTCAGCAAAAGATAGATAGATAGATAGATAGATAGATAGATAGATAGATAGATAGATATATATAGATAGATAGATAGATAGAGATAGATAGATAGATAGATATATAGATTTATAGATAGATAGATAGATAGATAGATAGATACAACACGAAATAATATTTTTATACAGGTTTATAGATTTATTTTTCTGTCTCTAATATGAAATGCTAAACCAGGGGTATTGGTTATTAAGTTAGTGAAACGTAGAGATTCTTTATATTACCTATTTTTTACGATTTTGACATTTTCTAGAGATCAAAATATGACTGAACTTGGGTCCTATAAAGAGCTTTATTTGCTCCAGCTTAGCACTAAAAAACACTCTGTTCAGACAATGAGCTATGAGGAAAGCCTAAAGGAAAAAATGATGCTGAATGAAGTTTACGCCAGACAAGCTCAGATACAACAAGCTCAGGTCAGATACAAGAGGGAGGAATGGCTGCTCTCAGGGTTTTGGAATTACTCCCAGGGTTTTGGAGTAAAATGTGAAAATGTATCCAACCTTTTATGGAAAGTCCTTTAAAATGGGTAATTTAAAACGGAAAAATACCCCATTTTTACTGTATTTGTTCAGATATTGGCAGTACAAATATCGCAAATTTTAGTCCAAGTAGCCTGTGGCGATCATATAGTTTTGATTAGCCAAAATGAAGACATTATACATTAAAAAATATTGGTAAATGTAAAAAAAAAAAAATTTCAGCTAGATACAAACAGGATTCATTTGAGCTGGTATAATACACCTCAAGATCTTTATAAGTTATCGTATTTTTTAGAAAAATCCAATTTTTCCCCTAAGAAAATCTTTAATTGATTGGTGCCATTAAAAAATGCATTTTCCCTCAGATATCTCAATTATTTTATAATTTTTGACACAGATGCGCGCCATCTAGAAGGCTCTAAATTTATCATAGAACAATTTTTATTTTGTGAGTGTCGTATAAAAACGCATTTTTTAAAGACACCAATCAATTAAAGATTTGATGTTGATATAGTAAAGATGTATTTAGTCGATTATTTATAATTCAGAATGAAATACTAAAGATTTATGTATTTAATTAACGTTCCTTTTAGCTCGATGAAAATAATTAGATATCTCAGGTTGGAGATGATTTTGAGATGCCCCCTGCTGGAGTGCTTCGTCTCCATCTTGCAGCAGAGATCTCAACGGCAGAGTACTTTGAGTACAACAACCTCAGAATTAATTATATAATCACACTACCCCCAGGTACATGAGTACTTTATGTACAACAACCTCAAAATTAATTATATATTCACACTACCCCCAGGTACATGAGTACTTTGAGTACAACAACTTCAGGATTAATTATTTAATTACACTACCTCCAGGTATATGAGTATTTTGAGTACAACAACCTCAGGATTAATTATATATTCACACTACCCCCAGGTACATGAGTACTTTGAGTACAACAACCTTTTGTTAGGAAGTATAGTACAGCTGAGGAGAATGATCTGTACGGTGTATTGTTAGGAAGTATAGTACAGCTGAGGAGAATGATCTGTACGGTGTATTGTTAGGTAGTATAGTACAGCTGAGGAGAATGATCTGTACGGTGTATTGTTAGGTAGTATAGTACAGCTGAGGAGAATGATCTGTACGGTGTATTGTTAGGTAGTATAGTACAGCTGAGGAGAATGATCTGTACGGTGTATTGTTAGGTAGTATAGTACAGCTGAGGAGAATGATCTGTACGGTGTATTGTTAGGTAGTATAGTACAGCTGAGGAGAATGATCTGTACGGTGTATTGTTAGGTAGTATAGTACAGCTGAGGAGAATGATCTGTACGGTGTATTGTTAGGTAGTATAGTACAGCTGAGGAGAATGATCTGTACGGTGTATTGTTAGGTAGTATAGTACAGCTGAGGAGAATGATCTGTACGGTGTATTGTTAGGTAGTATAGTACAGCTGAGGAGAATGATCTGTACGGTGTATTGTTAGGTAGTATAGTACAGCTGAGGAGAATGATCTGTACGGTGTATTGTTAGGTTGGAGTACAGCTGAGGAGAATGATCTGTACGGTGTGACCCAACTGTGCCGAACAACTTGTGGTGACCAGGGGCAGGATATAGCATACTTCTCCTTTCCTATTCAGGTGAAATAACTTTTATTTTCAATGTCATCTCCTTGAAATTTTTTTTACAATTATTGTCAAAATAGTTCATTTAAATTTTAAATTATTACTTATTTATCATCTGTTTTGGAAAAGGTTATCTATTCAAAACAAAACAAGATTCGAAACATTACAAAAAAAATGGTATAATAGGCTATTATTAATCATTTAAAGATTAAAGAAAAATCTGCAAAGTTTTATATTGGAGTAGTTTTCCAATATAGATAGATCAGCAACAAACAGTTGAGATAAGCGTCATAAAGCTCCCTGTAATTGCTAATGGTTATATTTATACTAACAGTACAATATTCATCACCCTAGTCGAGTTTTAGTTCTTTATTTTCACGGAATTGATTTATATTCGTGGCTGATTATACGTTAGGCTCATTTGTTCTTTATATTCACGGAATTGATTTTATATTCGTGGCTGATTATACTTTAGGCTGATTTGTAATTTATTTTCATGGAATTGGTTTTGTATTCGTGGCTGATTATACTTTAGGCTGATTTGTTCTTTAACCTGAATCAGCTTGAATTGATCGGAGCTGATATACCTAGCTGGCCCCAACTCCTGATAGAGGTAGGAATAAAGGAAATTTTTACTTAGTTCAAAGATTAAACATTAAACACAAGTTTGGGAATTATGAACACAAAATTGTCGCTTCTTTAGTAAATAATCACTATTTCTTGGTAACCAGATGTCATTGATCTTTGATATTTCAAAAACTATCAATTCTGTTAGGTTGGAAAAATCTAGTTGTGGCAAAAACTCAGTTCCCTTCCCTTTATTTAAGTAGGATGACGAAAAAAATACTCCTTTTCCATTAATTTGTGTAAAAGCTTGTTTAATGACTTAAAAGTAATGTCATAAAATTGACAGTAAATCAATTAATCAATCTTGGATATCATTCTAAAAATCTAGTCATTGATAACTTATAATTCAGTCTCTCCAACTTCTTTTCCATTTACTTACACATTGCTAATGTAACCTTGTTACAGGTAGTTTCAGAAGACTACTGGGAGAGAAGTAGGATAGAAGGATACGGTCATCTTGGTTTTCCCATGCTACCTGGATATCATGCTAGGTCTATACAGACCTGGATACCAATATCAGGTATTCCCACCTTATACCAGGTTATCGTGCTAGGTCTATACAGACCTGGATACCAATATCAGGTATTTCAGCCCTATACCTGGATATCATGCTAGGTCTATGTATACCTGGAATGGATACCAATATCAGGTATTCCAACCCTTTACCTGGATATCATGCTAGGTCTATACAGACCTGGATACCAATATCAGGTATTTTAGCCCTATACCTGGATATCAGGCTAGGTCTATATACAGACCAGGATACCAATATCAGGTATTCTAACCGCGTGTACCTGGATACCAATATTAGTAATTCTAAGCCTATACCCTATACATACCTGGATACCAATATCAACCTATACTTATACCTGAAAATCAGGCTATTATACAGACCTTACAACCCTATTCCTGGATATCAGGATATGACCTGCAGATACCAATATCAAGTATTCTACAGGGTGTTTTTTTAAGTGACAATTTTCAAACGCTAATAACTCCAACAATTTTAAAGATATTTCAGTTCGCTAAAAAGCTGATAGATGATATTGGCACTTTTCATAATCTAATAGAAAATCTGCAAATGTAAAAAGAGAAATCTGTAATTCATTAAAAGCGTAACATACATTGCTTCATGTAATCCCTTGGACTTTTACTTCTTGGTGGCTGAAGAGGCTGAAGTCAACCAGAGGAAACCTAAACAATCCCTGAGTTGATGTTGATTGCTGAACAATATTCATCTCAGATTTCAATAGATATCCTGCCTCAGGGGCGGATACAGGGGGGTGGCGGGGGGACATTCGCCACCCCCTCCCTGAGATTTNGTATATTGTATATATATTGTTCAGAAGACCATGTATATTGTATATATATTGTTCAGAAGACCATGTATATTGTATATATATTGTTCAGAAGACCATGTATATTGTATATATATTGTTCAGAAGACCATGTATATTGTATATATATTGTTCAGAAGACCATGTATATTGTATATATATTGTTCAGAAGACCATGTATATTGTATATATATTGTTCAGAAGACCATGTATATTGTATATATATTGTTCAGAAGACCATGTATATTGTATATATATTGTTCAGAAGACCATGTATATTGTATATATATTGTTCAGAAGACCATGTATATTGTATATATATTGTTCAGAAGACCATGTATATTGTATATATATTGTTCAGAAGACCATGTATATTGTATATATATTGTTCAGAAGACCATGTATATTGTATATATATTGTTCAGAAGACCATGTATATTGTATATATATTGTTCAGAAGACCATGTATATTGTATATATATTGTTCAGAAGACCATGTATATTGTATATATATTGTTCAATCGACTCTATTTGGTGCATGAGAAAATACTTTATATACTTGTCAAGAGCCTGCCTAGGACATGTTTTTTTTATCTATTTTTCAGGGGACCCTGCCTGGGACATGCGTAGATATTTTATCGGTGGGACACAGGAGCTTATGGACATTCAAGAATGCGGGAATCCTACCTCAGGTTAGTATAATAGACGCTTAATTAAATAATCATTTTCTGATAAAATTAATCTTACTGAGCTGGAAACTATTGTATTTTTATTAAGATCGAGATCAATGCTTGATATTGACCCTTTGACAATCTCAGATCAGTTAAATCTTTATTCGATATCCGCAGTGTAATTGTATCCTGAAAACATACATGAAATGAAAAGATTAGTCATTAGACCAGGAACCGCCATATCTCATGCGTCAAATCTGTGTACTGCAGTGGGAGGAGATCTAAACAAAGAATTCAGGGGCAACGCATCTTTTTTGATAGAAAAGGGCACAAAGGGTGGAATAAAAATATATTGCTATAGTATTTTCCATATTGACCAGAAAGCCATAAATCATATTCACTCTAACTTGATATATTAATCCGTTTTTTTGTTGTTGGACTGTAATATCACATCAAAGCTATAGTCCTTTCCCTTCAACTTCTGTGGGGGCACTGGGTTTGTTCCTCCCACAGTGTACAGTACATAATATTAGGTTCTGTAAAGAGTAGGCAAGATCTAGGTATTAGATCAGCTGATTGATTGATTATTTAGGTTCTGTAAAGAGTAGACTAGGTCTCGGAACTAGATCAAGTGGAACTGTGACGGTCAACTTCAACATTATTCATCAAGCAAAAGCTTTCATGCTCAGGAACCATGGGGTCAGCTCTTTTCTAACATTTCACCACTTTTATGCGTTTTTTTATCAGATTTTGATATCCCCCCCCCTTTTACATGATATACAGCTAGAACAAGAAAAATGTGGAATCAATGTTGTCTTTTTTTACTTTAAAGAATGTCGCTATGAAGATCAATTGAAAATTTTAAATTCCAAAATAAAGCCAATAAAATACGACGAGAATTTCACTATTTTGTGGTTCTTACTGTATATCTTTATTGTTTTAAACATGGTTACCCACAAAACACGAGACTTTTAAAGTCTTGCTTCTCTTTCAACATATATGTATTTTTTCCTTAAAACATTTATATTTTTTGATTCCTTTAAAGACAGGGTTTCCCACGAAAAATTCGACAGTTGGTGAATAGTTTTGAATGTCTTCTTCCATGAATAGTTTTGAATGTCTTCTTCCATGTATTGTATTAGATATTAAAGACTATTTGTAGTTTATTCTGTAAAAAAAATCTTTTACTTAAATATGTTCTGCTTTGAAATCAATTTTACTAATATATAACTGCCTAATAATAATATTTAATTATTCTGTTTGGTATCAAACAACTTAACAAATTATGTAAGCAGACATTTTAAATTATTTCCCAAATGTCATGTTTCGTGGGACACCCTGTACTATATATTGGATCTTGAAGTATATCAGCTGTAAACTAGATTTTTGAGAAATAAGAGAAAACTTAAAAAGTTTAATCCTTTAAAATAATGCAGATTAAATGCCAGATTAAAGATTAGCGTAAAAACGCAAGATTTATTGAGTATTTTATGATGCGTATTTTGGCGTAAAGCCTGGAGATAATCCAAAATGACTATGGGAAAGCCCTGAAAGCAAAAAAGAATACATTCGATAAAATGTATTTCAACTTTTATACAGGGTGTCCCAAAAAATAGGACAGTAGCAAGAAGTCTTGAAGGTCGTCTTTGATCTTTGAAATAGTTCCATAATTCTATATGTGGTCTGCCTTTTTTGCGCTTTCAATATTACCAGAGATTAAGAATTTCCTTACGACAACACAAAAAAAGCAGGCCACATTTTTGAAATGTCAGGACTAGAAGAAGTTTTTTGTTATTGTTTTAAGAATCATACATGTTAAAGTAGGTTGACGACTGAATGTCACAAATATATCCAAAGATCTAAGACGACTTTTGAGTCGTCTTGCTACTGTCATGTTTCACGGTACACCCTGTATCATCTATCTACAAATATAATAAAGTTGTAATCTCTGTTTGTTTGTCTGATCATAACTTAGCACCCCTGCACCGATTTACCTCAAATTTGTATTGGGGAACTCGGGAATGTTCTTATTTTGTTTTTGAGATTTTTAGTTGAGTGAATCGACTTTTAAACAGGTGTCCATATAATTCCCAAAATAGCTGATTTTCTCGATCCAAAAATAATTTTTTGCCCCCAATTATAAAAAAAATGCCCCAAATTAAAAAATTTTCAAATTCCACTAACACATTTGCCCCCATTGCCCCCAATTTGAAAAAAATGCCCCCAATTAAGTAAAAATGCCCCCAATTTTTTTTAAATTAGCATTTAAAAAAAATTGCCCCCATTTCTTTCAAATTTGTCAATCCCAAATGGGATTGAAAAAGGAATTATGTGGACCCCTGCTTTTAAAGCGAAAATTTAGTTTCCCTGTAAAAATCGTCAAAGTTCGGGTAATCGGCGGGATTAACTATGACCCTGTGTAAAGCTGGGTTCCCAAAGCGCTAGTATACATGAAAAGTTGTAATCTCTGTTTGTCTCAAAAACCTCTGGCCCGATTTGCCTCAAATTTTGATTGGGGGAACTCGGAAGACCCACGGGAATGTTCTTAGTTTGGTCTTGAGATCTAAGTTGAGTAGGTCGACTTTAATAGCGAAAATTTAGTTTCCCGGTAAAATCGACCAAGTGCGGGTAAAGGGCGGGATCAAGATTATGAGTAACCTGGGCAACGCTGGGTTCCCAAGCTAGTAAATCATAATTTCTTTAATATCTCTAGAAGGGATTCATTTCGCGAACTGTCCCTTTTGCCGTTTAAAGCCTGATATAGACAGTAAAACTTGCTCTAGTTGTCTTAAAGTGGGTCCGGTACTTCAATGAACCACGGTTTTCAGTGATACAAGTCTGATTTGTTGCGATTAATCCTATTCTAAACCCATACTATGTAGTTTTTTTATTTCCTGTTAGTAATTTTGAAAATGTTTCAGGATTTGAGAAAATCTACGAAAACATTGATGCTGGACAGGTAAAACTTTGAGTGAGAAAAAAATCTTTACCCATTATAATTCTTAGTAATGTGCAGTAAGCTCAGGGGCGGCTTATGATATTTTCCATTTGATTTTTTTGAAGGGGTTTTGTTGTTTGAAAGATTCCACAAAAATCTGGGAAATTTTACAAATTTCAAAATTGTTTTTTTCTCTAAACACATTTGCTTTTTTTGCACTTTACACAATGTTGAGCCTGAAAGAAAATGGATGTGAAAGCGAGTATTTTAATTTTTAATTTGTTTTCTCTTCGGACAAAATATTCCCAAGTTTAATACAAGCAAACTTTAATAGAATATAGTTTTTTTAGTTTTTAAAAAACGACTCAAAACGATTAACAACCCTAAATTCAGAGTGAGCAATTGAGTATCATATTTGATCTCAATTATATTCAAACATAAGTTTTTTTGGTACTCTCATATTGGTAGCTCCTTATAAATCTTAGTCAACGATTTTATAATGTAATAAAGCAAACTTGTTGAGAAGAAAATTTTAGAATATGTTGAACTTTATATAGATTTTTGTTGAGCCACATAAATGCCAAAAAATAACGAGAGTCAAAATTTTCATAATACAAAGATTTTTATAATGTAATAAAGCAAACTTGTAATTAAGAAAATCTTAAAATTTGTTTGACTATAAGGATGTTTAATGCCCAACGCATATATTTTCCTAATATTGTGTGGAACAATATTTGAAGAATAAAATAGTTTTCTATATCCGTCGCTTTTTTAAAAATCCGGGAGAATAAAATGAAACTTTATTTAAATTTCTAATATTTAGATTAAGCTCTGCCACCCTGTTCTCCAGAGTTAACACTGTTCTAGAAGCTTTCCGTAGAGCCAGAGATAAACTTGGTAAATAAAATATATTCTATTTACTATGAATTTCAAGCTTAAGGGATTGGTGACGCAATTTCAAGTTTCTCTCCATATTAAAAGTGGCATGCGCGATTGCAAACAACACGCATATAAGGTTTTTCTGATCAATTGGACAAATGAGAAATCAATGTTTTTCTTGATTTCTTTCAATTGTGGTTTCTCATAACAAATTACTTTATAGAGACAATTATTAGAATAAAAAAGACGATGTATTCCACATTATTGATCAGCTAAAGCTTTATTGAGCATAGTTATGTTTTAAAAGTTTTGTTAAATTTGAATTTAAAATCAGTGACATCTTACTATAGTGACATGACCGATCATGTCCTTTTATGATAAAGCCAAATGTTTTTATTGCTATTTTTTATTAGAAAAAGCAACAGAACAGCTGGAGTGATCTGAAGTAGAAGATTATTTGAAACTTTATATATTTAAAAAGAATAAAAAAGAAAAGATTGTTTTTAGAATAAATCATGGAGTTATTAGATTTTTTAGTTATCTGTTATAAAATAAACGAAAAATATCTAAATTTCTTGTGCAATGTACCGTGGGGACTCCTGAAACTGTGAAATAGGAAGATTTTATTTGACAACCTTAATTGTATTTGATGTTGTGTAATTTAGAAAATAGTTTTCCAGTGTAACCTTTAAGATTATCTATATGTACACTTCACAATTGCTGTGTCTCATGTTCACTGGACTATTTAGAATCATAACTTAAGTCTAACTGTCGTCTTCCTATGCCACAGTTCTTTTGTATGTTTATTTGTCCACTAGAGATTAAAAGTTACAATCCAATCTACAAAGAAATCAATTATATATAGCCTCCCCCCATTCCCAGGGTTTTTAAGTAGTAATTTAAGTAGATGGGAGAAAAATAATTTTCTCATGTAAAAATCCTGTTTTCATCTCGTGTAAAAACTTGGTCCTAGACCCGTGATCAAATCGTTGACATTCACCTCGGCAACACCGTGTGAAATACACCAAATAATCTTGTGTTCTTCACGGGTTTTTGTTGGGTCAGGAACCTTAAGACTGATTTGACTCAAGATTTGTTGGGGAGCTTGTTGGGTTTAAAAATTCTAAATTGTGTATGTTGACTTTGAAAGAGAAATTTCCATTTCCAGTCAATGCTGGGTTCCCCATGTATACATGGGAACATAGATTTAATTAGGAGTTTTTTTTTAAAAAAGTCACCTTACTAAACTTAGAATTTTTAGCCATATATAGTGCTCAGCCCAAAAATTATCTTAATCTAACCTAACCCAACATATTACTCATATTGTATAAGTTAAAAAAATATGGAAACAGGGCTCATTCCCCTAGCCTTTCCTAGCCACAGCATTCCTCCCGTAGCCTGTCTTAGAAGCAGCACTCAGCCCAGAAATTGTCTTAACCTAACCTAACCCCACATAGTGGTTATTAGTGTATTAGTTTAATAAATATGACCGCAGCACTTGGCCCCCTTGCCTGTCCTAGACACAGAACTTGGCCCAGAAGTTATCTTAACCTAACCTAACCCCAAATATAAGTAATTAATGTATTAGTTTAATATATAAACTATTTTGTGATTGTTTGACTGTATATATTGATAAGTTCAAATGAGTAAATAATCATGTATTGTTTGAAATACAGGAAATGACGTCATTATCAGTAGTTAGAACGAACAATAGTTCAAACGATCAATAGTTCAAACGATCAATAGTTCAAATGATACATAGTCTAACGGCAGTAGTTTAAATACGGATCCACCAAAAACTCTAAAAATNTACTGCAGATCGGATTCGGCCCCTCACGTCACACCCCACTAGCAAAAGTGATTCCTTGTAATAAAATTGCATACACAAAATTCAATAATTAATTAAAACTGTAATTATCATTAAGTGAAGTATAATGAAACACGTTTTCCTTTGTCTCATTTTAAATTTTAGAATATTTCAGGAGCAATTAGGCCTCTTCTTTCAATTTCCACGTCTTTCATAAATGGAAGTTTTCAGATTCTAAGATGGGAGACAGCTTTATATCTGCTGGAAACTTAAACACTTCTTCAACAGGTTTTACAGACAATATTTCTATAACAGTGAGTTATGAATCTAAATTAATTGAAAATGCGATTTTTTAATCTTCTTCCCCCCACTTTTATCAATTTGGTACATGATCGATATACTAATTTATTTTGTAATATGAAAGGTTAGGTTAAGACAATCCTGGGCCGAGCGCTGCGACTAGGACAGGATAAGGGACCTTGCGTCGCGGCTAGGACAGGCTAGGGGACCGTGCGTCACGGCTAGGACAGGCCAGGGGGCCGGGTGCTGCGGCTACATGTCCTACAGTTTGAAACGTTTTAAAATTATATCTAAAATTGTTAGGTGTTATTGGAGGGGGGTCCTAATATCGATCTCTAGGAAAATTTACTTTAGTTTTCTAGGGGAAGGGTGCCCAGTCCTAGAGAAATTCAATGAATATGGGGGTGGGGGTAGTTAGTTTAATGTCTCTAATATACTTTTTATTTTCTAGAAGTTAAAAAAAGTGCGATGTTAGATCTTCGAACTGGAAAACCTCTTCAGATTCCAGAAGGAAACAAACATATCTTACTTGATCTTTGCTTGTTCTTTTACTTTAATGACAAGTGATCAGTAGTTGGACTGCGTAGACGTTGTTAAGCCACTTTTTTTGTGCTCTGGTGAAAGTCGAAGAGAAGTGGCTCAACTACATTCACCCGGTTCAACGCTTTTTATTGTTCTGGTCCCAGAGGGAATATAAAGCATAAGTGATTACTTAGAAATTTGTTTCCTGAAACTTTTGACTAAATGGCAATTGAGTCTCTCATGATTAACTTTTTTTTAAAACTCTTCCATCCTCCCCCCCTGAAATTATCTATCGGCTCAAACATTTTCTAAGCCTCTTTTTTTCATATCAAAGATTTAATTCACCCAGGAATATACTTATTAAGGACCTACACCATTTTTACGAAATTTTTTGGAACGCAAGGGGGGAACGTGATAGAGAATTTAAGGCCTTAAAAAATTTGAAACTTAAAACTATGTGTTTCTTTCTTTTTTATTCTTAATTAAACAGGTATGTGCTGGAATAGGAGATTTATTTGGAAGATGCAGATATGTCACGGATTTTGAGAAACTAAACAGGTTTTTCTTCTTTTATTTATACATTTAGAATCCCTTCTCATGTATATATTTGCAAAGTCTTCTTGTTTCCAATAAAAAAATAGCGGTTGATGCCAAAGGGGCCAATTTTTATGTAAGGCTTGAGGACGTTAAAACTTTCCCATCTTAAGTCTTTAACTTGATGTGTTATTCGGTGAAAATATATTTCGGTTTTGTTTGTTTAGGATAGGAGAAGGAACTTATGGAATAGTTTATAGAGCCCGTGATACTAAATCAGGATATATAGTGGCTCTCAAGAAACTCAGGAAATTTAAAACTACCTCATTTTGAAAATAACAAAAATTATTTTCACTCCCAGCCTTTTTGATTATTTTTGTTGAATTTTTTTTTTTAACACCAATGATCGGGGTTTTTTAACTTTAAATATGAAAACTTTTAAAAGCTAAGAAATTTCTAAGTAATTTTTAGAAGCTTTTTGAAATGTGTTTTTTATTTCAGAAAACAGGGGTGTATATTAGAAAACAGGGGTGTATATCTGTTCTGCCCCCAATCGACGACTAAAATACCGGTGTATATTACAGGTATCCGTAGTCCGCAGTTTGCTGCTGCGGAGGGGGGGGGGGTAATGTTGCTTTGGGGCAGATCCCCCCGTGCCGAGTATTTTGGATTTTAGTAGTATAATGGAGCGTTTTGGTGCCCTAAATTTAGGTCAGTTTCAAGGTGCCTTTAAGATTTTTTTGTGAACATGCAAATGATCTCTTCCCCCTTATCTGCTTTTCCCTCCCTTCCCTCTTCCTCTTTTCTTCCCCCTTTTTCCTTTTTTCTTCATTTTTTACCCCCAAATCCAATGAAAGCTCATATGNGGTTGCTATGTGCAGTGTACGTTAGAAAAATATACACCCCTGTTAGAAAAAATATACACCCCTGTTAGAAAAACTAAAAGCTAAAAGAAAACCCCCTCGTCATAAGTAAACGTGTTTAATTTTCTAACAAACGAAACTTATTTGAATCAATTTCTAAAAATTTGTTAGTTTAAAATTATTTGATACAGAATGGAGAGGGAGAAAGATGGTATCCCGGTATCAGGGGCGTAACATTCTTTTGTAAATAAAAATCAAGAAAAGAGTATCTTAATTGATAGTTTCATAAAATTCATTAAAACAATTATAAAAAATGTTGCGGTTTGCAGGACTCAGAGAAATATCCATATTATTAAACTGTGATCATGAAAATATAGTGAGGTGAGTAATTATCCACGAACTTTGAATTAGCATTTAATATTTTCCATGGGTATTTTTTATACTTCGTAGAATTACTTAATTAAAGATTTGGTTGTAAATAATAATAATAATAAAATTGTACATCCACTGACAAGTTTTTCCGTCTTTTATTGATACTTTTTACCTAAAAATCTTTAAAACACTGATATTGTGAGAAAAATTATATCTATTAAAGTCGTTGTGAGTTGGCCAACAAAATATATTCATCTTTAACGGACAAGGGACAGTAAAGGAAAAATGAAAGGGGGTATAGGCTGAAAGCTAATCACTTTAGCTCTTGATCGCGACCCATGAAAGTCATATCTGATGTTCCTGTCTCGAGAAATTGATATAAAACTGTGTCAAATATATACGAAAATTAATATATATACAATTTTGTATAAAAGTAGTAGGTTTAAACAGATTATATTCAGCAATTAAGCAACCAATCTGAAAACGATGATATCCCAGAGAAAGCTAATTGTAAATTAGGTTTACTTTTATATTAGTTATTTCTATTTTCAATAGAATTAATTCATTTTACGTCCGTATTACTTGACCAGAAATTCCACCAATGGCAGTGCAGTAAAGTGGTCACGTGATACAGGCGGAGACACGTGACCAGTTTACTGCTCTGCCATTGGTGATAGTTCTGGTCTCGTGATTTAAGTTTCAGATTTTCCAAATTTTACATAAATGAATTTTCGTATAATTTTAACACAGTTTTATATCAGTTTCTCGAGACAGGAACATCAGATATAACTTTCATGGGTCGCGATCAAGAGCTAAAGTGATTAGCTTTCAGCCTATACCCCCTTTCATTTTCCCTTTACTGTCCCTTTAAAGCGTAATTTCAAGTGACTCTCTTTGCAAAAATGAAAATGCCCGATTTACAACGGAAACCTTATAAGTAAAAATCAGAATTTCTTGACTTGCGCATTGTCATAAAATAAGAGTGGGGACGTTATCACAATTGAACCCTTATTTATCAGAAAATGGTCTCAATGGTACCATCTGTGCATGTAGGGAATTTCAATTCTGATTTAGAGTTCGCGAGATCGCAGTTGGACGAAGTCTTGAGTCTATTTTTCTCGTGATGGAATATTGTGAACAGGATCTTGCCTCTCTTCTAGATAATATGCAGAATCCATTCTCAGAATCACAGGTGTCCAATTTTTACATTATGTCAGGGGTTCATCTATGATTGATCTGGGTGAAAATGGAACAATTGGCAACACTTGAACAAATAAAATCTCCTTGAAATAGTATCTAATTCAAAAAGTTCGAACTTAAATATCGTCTTTAGTCAATCTAATCGGCTATAAAGAGTAGGTAGTTGCCTGAAGGAGTTACGCGCGCTTGCCGCGTTGAATTACAAGAAAGAGAGAGATTAGTATGTATTTCAGGGTTAGGTTAGGACACTTTCTGGGCCGAGTGCTGCGACTAGGACAGGCTAGGGGACCGAGTGCCTCTTCTAGAAAAGTATGTCTAGTAATTCAACGCAGTATGCGCGTAACTCCTTTGGGCTACGGACCGAAGAGTATCATAGCCAATATATTCTGCCATAAATTGAAGTATTACACTACCTGCCACAAAATATCTGGACGAACCCCTGCATTATGTTATTAATGTAAAGACTAAAGAGTTTTAACTGTTCATATTTGATTTGATTAACTTAGAATAATGAAATGATTTTTTTATTTTTATCATTTTGAGTGATTTTTTTTCAGGGGTCCATATAATTCCGCCCATATCGAAACCAAATGTTAATTGATTGATATTAGGGCAAAAACTTACCATGTTGTTATTGTAAACAATTGATGTCAAGTTCTAGAAAAATACCATACTGAAGATTGTATTCTGCAAGGGGGGTGTTTATTTTTCTGTATATTATAACTTATCTCTAATATTGATTACTGATATTTACTTCTTTTAACACCCCAAATGCAGATTAGTACAATAACACAGAAAGTGTATTTTCCTGCCCCTAAATGTACTTTCAGCCTCGATCCCATTTGGGATTAAAAATGGAATTTTATGGACCCATGTTTTTATATTTTAGTTTAATTTTTGAAATGTTTAGGTTAAATGTATCATGAAGCAGGCATTCCAAGGATTAAGTTATCTTCACTCTTCATTTATTGTTCATAGAGACTTGAAGGTATTATTATTATTTAATTACTCTTACAATGAAAACTGTAAATCTATAAATGTTTCGGCTAAATCTAGATTTCCAATTTGTTTGTTTATATTTTGTATGAATTTTAACCTAAAAACTCATATACTTTCCCCTAAAACGTATAAAATGTTTACTTATATAAAGTGTATATACCTAATAACATTTCAGACAATTCTGCTATGACCTCGCAAATATGCATTATGCAACCCTCCCCCATTTTAATTTACATTAAATGGAAATTTCTTTTTCTCTGTCATGTATGTCTCCTCGCAAAATGTAATTTTGTTAGTGTTAAAATATATATAATACAGGTTTCCAATCTTCTTCTGACAGACAAGGGCTGCCTCAAAATAGCAGATTTTGGTCTAGCAAGGTAAGCTATGTAAGGAGACAGGGATTGTCAATGTTAACATTATTCGTAATTAAAGTTTTTTTCCCAAACATTTTTGTTAATGTTAAAAATTGACATTATTTCCCTTGAAAAATTTCAACACCGTTTTTTAGTCAAAAAAAAGTATCAACATAACTCTTAGTTAAAGGAAACAAATGCCAAATGTGAACATAAGTATCAATTGCAATAAATGTCAACATAATTTTTGAAATCTTGTAGAATAGAAATTTATTCAAATTTTATACTTATGTATTCTGCTAGATACTATGGAGTGCCCCTGAAGCCGATGACCCCCCGTGTAGTGACGCTTTGGTACCGTGCCCCTGAACTACTTCTTAATGCTAAAACCCAGACAACAGCTATTGATATGTGGAGTGCTGGCTGTATTCTTGGAGAACTACTCGCTCATAAACCTCTTCTTCAGGTGGATATTTTAAAATGTCTGGGATATTTATTCATATAGCATTTTTAAAGTTTGAGGTTATATATATGTATTATGTACTGCCAGAAAATTGGACTCAAATTTTTCTCGCGCGTATTGAAACTGTGACTTTCAGTGGGAAATGCGTGTTTTTGTCTATTTTTGGGGATTTTTAGCTTTAAACTTTCAAATTTTTAGTAAAACTCCACATTCTTGGATCAAACTTGCATTTAAAGGGGGACCATTATGCGCACGCGCACTAAATTCGCGAAATGAGATAAAAATGCATAAATTATGCCATTTATTTTGTCTACAAAATTTGCAATTGACTCCACGTCAGGTAGATGCAGCTAATTTATTTCCCTGCCATTTTTCTCATTTAAATGCAACATTTTGGCAAAGGTCTCTTTGTCAGGGTATTTCAGGGAAAAAATCCCCAAACTTCAAAAATTAAGGTTTTGTAAAAATAAAAATAAAATAAAGTTTTAGGTCTACCCCCTTTAAAAAATTTAATTTATAGTCAAATGTTAATTATAAATTTATTACTCTTGTGTTCCTTTTTCAGTAAAACAAGTTAATGTCAACTTTGAATAATTTTAGACCATTATTTTAGGCAACACATTTTGGCCTGAAAAAAAAGAATTTTGAGAAATATTTTTGGAAGAACACTCTAAAAGATGAAAAACAAAAATAAATTTTTTTACTCACTCCCCATTCCACAAAATAAATAGATTAATAAAAATACAAAAAAAAGATTTAAGAATTAAGATTACAAAATAAATGATTTATAGGGGAAAACTGAAATTAATCAGCTGGAATTGAAGGTTGATCTATTGGAAACTCTTACTGATCATATTCTAGGTTAAATCTGAAATTAATCAGCTGGAACTGATCCTTGATCTACTTGGCACTCTTACTGATCATATTCTAGGGGAAATCTAAAATTTATCAGCTGGAACTGAAGGGTGATCTACTGGAAACTTTTACTGATCATATTCTAGGTTAAATTTGAAATTAATCAGCTGGAACTGATCCTTGATCTACTTGGCACTCTTACTGATCATATTCTAGGGGAAATCTGAAATTGATCAGCTGGAACTGATCGTTGATCTACTGGGAACTCTTACTGATCATATTCTAGGGGAAATCTGAAATTAATCAGCTGGAACTGATCGTTGAATCTACTGGGAACTTTAACTGATCATATTCTAGGGGAAATCTGAAATTAATCAGCTGGAACTGATCGTTGATCTACTGGGTACTCCTAATGACCATATTTGGCCCGAGTTCTCATCCCTACCCGCTGTTCAGGTAAGCATATCAAAGCTTCATAAGNGGGGGGGGGGGGGGGGGGGGGGGGATTTTTGTTGAATTGGGGGAAAAATTTAAAATTTGCATCAGAAGGCAAGTTTTTTCATTCTTTCTTCCATTCATTTTTTTTATAATCCTAAAAATCGTTAGTTTTCCCCAATTCTTACAAATCTTTGCAAGGGAGAAAACGTTAGCGGATTCAAACTCTTGTTTGTAATTGTTAATGCTGTGGAATTAATGAAAATATGAAGAAAAAAATATGATAAAACATTTAGGAATTCCGGTTGAAGACCCAGCCCTACAACAATATAAAACAAAAGTTCCCCTGGTTGACCCCTGCTGGACTCCGTCTACTTAACTTCCTGTTCATGTTTGATCCTACCAAGCGAGCAACTGCTAATGAATGCCTTCAATCATCATATTTTCTGGTACATGGAAATAAGTATTTAAAGGGACAGGGACTGTCGACGTGCCTTTAAAGCATAATATTTTTTTAACCCAGTCAAAATATTTTGAGAACAAATTATTAATTCAAAGTTAGACGGGGGGGGGGGGGTGATATTTGGAAAAAAAACCGATTCGAATATTGAAGTTCTTTTATATCTAGGAGCCTCCAATACCTTGTGATCCCCGACTGATGCCAACCTTCCCCCATCACCGGAATAAACCTGAACCTGGCCGAGGACCTGCTCCGGCTGGCCGGCCACAAGGACCAGCTGATTCTCACAGTACAATGTACACAATGAACTTTGGAAATATTAATATGAAATAGGCAGTTGCCTAAACCCATGATCTCTTATGTACTTAAAGTACACAGTACGCAGTACGCTAAACGATTAAAAAAATATTAAGTATTGTTGCGAGGATGCTAGTCCTCATTAAGCCTGAATTTACAGAAAAATGCGCATTGCTGTATTTGGTGCTACTGGGGGGACTGGCCTGCAGCTATTAGAGCAGGCCCTGGCGGCCAACCATCATGTTACAGCTATTGTCAGGTAACTAAAGATTTTGTCAGATTTGAAACGGAAGTTTTTGAATAAATAAGAACTAGTTAAAACGAGTTCGGTGTGTTTAACTTCTTGATACTTCAGTAAGTTGGTTCAGAAATATGCAACTACAGGAATAGAAAATTCATGAAAAACTGAATTCTTTTCCCTTGTTTTTGCTAGTTATGGGAAAGAAAACTCAAACCAAATTTTTCTTCTCATTTTTTGGTTCGGTTGGATATCATATTTTTTTCTTTCTTCTTCCTCTCTCCTTTTAAACTTTTTAGCTTCATTTTTTGGTTCTCTTTCTGTTCAGTCAAATTGGGAGAAAGTAAGGGGGCCGGGGAGGGGGGGGGGGTTGCTTGAGAATTTAATTCAACTAGCTCTACTACTCTTTCAGCTTTAAACAAAAGTTGAACAAACACATTATTTCTAGAAATAATTTCTATTGGGGCCTAAATCACAACGATTGTCTTTCAACATTTTTCAACATGAAGGGTCACTTGAATAGGCGTCGACAACCTTTTTAATAAACAAATATGATTAAAACGATTTTATCTACTCTAGGACCCCAGCTAAAATCAAGATGACCCATGAAAACCTGAAAGTAGTTACTGGCGATGTATTCAACACAGAGGTCAGTATAAATTAATTAATAAACTGTATTATTTATCCTCATAATTTTTAATCTTAATGTTTCTTTTTGGTCACATTAATGTTTAAAAATGTTCTCACATTTTCCTTCAAACTTAATACATTTGTTAAAAATAGTATATTAAAAAATTTGGATTAATTGTGGAGATGATTTTTGTTGATATTGGAAAAAATGGAAAATTTCACTTGTTGTTTTTTTCCATTAAAGATCATTATTAATCTCAAAAGTTAAAACTAAAATTATTTCCTTTCTCAAATCTGTGACATTTCTGAGTTTATTTTGTGGTAGAGTATAGAGGGAGCTCTGGCTGACCAGGATACTGTGTTCTCCTGTCTAGGCTTCAAACCTGAGAAACCTGCAGTTACTGGATATATTAACGCTACTAAGGTAGGATAAGGGGGGATATTATTATTAACAATCAACCTACAGTCAAAGAATCATGTCCTGCAGGCAATGAGTTAAGCTCCAACCACTTACCCATGTCTGCTAGGGCTGGTCGTCGTTCCTGGGGAACCATTGTTATTTCAGGAGAAAGAACGGAATTATCAAATATTGAAACAATTATTAAAAGAATGAACGTGGAACTAACTGCTTGAAAAGAACGTTAAAATCAGGAAAGCTTTCTTATTATGAGGAAGCGCTCTAAGTCAGTAACGCATTTTAAATCGGGAACCTTCAGGGGCGTACGAGGGGATGGCCCTGGGTGCACTGCCCCACTGGAAAGGGGGGGGGGGTTCATTTAATGTTACATCTGGAGATTTGTTGAAGAAAACCTCTAATTCTTGATTTTGGAGGCAGTACTTTTAAAGATTTTCATTATCTTTTTTATATCATTTTGTAAATTTTCTTTTTTTCATTTCTTCAAAGTTTAAATTAATATAGAATCTATTGAGCGGTTTAAAGTGACAGCAGACATAATTTCAATTCTGATTCACAACAATACCCTTTAAAGCTTTGTTTGATCAATTATTGCATTAAAAATGTATGTTTCCCATCTTGAAAACTGATATTTTTCAGAAAAAATGTAAAAATTAAGGTTTCAAACGTACATCGAACATGTCCCTTGAAATCATGCATGTATTCCAATTCAAGATTAATTACATTATATTAAAAAAATACTTTAAAATCTCACCTTTGCCCTTAACTAAAAAAGTTTCATTAAAAAAGCTTTAATCAATACTGCCTTCAGTGTAAATATAGATTTGATATCATTTTTGATGTAGTAAATCTCCTATGAAAATATAAATATTTTTAAAGATACATTTCCATCTCTATTTTTTTTACCCCATGAAGCATACACCACATGAGTATTAAGAGGGAGTGTCTGACGAGGAAAACTACATAAATATTTTATTAACACTTATGATGGAACTATTCTTGACTAAGTACGTAAAGAACGGAATGGAATGGGATGAAACTGTTCTTGACTTAGAACACAAAGAACAGAACAGAACAGTACGTGAATGGAACGAACTACAGGCCCTCGTTATTGAATGGAACGGAACGATTTCAAAAAATTTGCCCAGCCCTAATGTCTGCTCTCAGTACAGTCTGCGTCTGTTTTAAAACAAATTTGGTGTTAAAAAGTAACCATTGAGAGGTACCTGTACAGTGGACAGGATTTAATTTTACAGAGAGAACATGTACTCAGATACTGTCTGTCTGCAATTTTACTGTGAGAACAAGTACTGTCTGATTCAAGCTCGGGTCCATTTTAAAGGGAGTTTTCGCGAAAAATGAAAGGGGGTAAAAAAGCTCTTTTGATCTTTAGAAAAAATATACCTCTGGGTCGGATTAATATTTTCCTATCAAGTTGAACTGTTTTTTCTTTCTAGAGCATTGTTGCTGCCATGAAGAAGAATGGATTGAAACGTCTTGTTCTTTGCCACTCTTGGTATACGGATCCAGAATCCAGGTATGTTTAAGGGGGGGGGGGGAGGTTAAAATGGGCTCTGTAGCTAATTGTGAGGGGGTGAGAGGGGCCTAACTTTAAGAGAATTGTTTATTTTAAAAGAAACACTATTTCAAATTTTTAAGTGACCTTCCATTTATAGAGTGGCACAACGGTACCGTTTACCTGACCCCCGTCAGATAATGGATGACAGATATTTCCTTATTTTCTGACTGGAAATTGAGAACAGTTAGACGGTTAATGTATGGTGAACCTCAAGTGTACTGGGACTCAAATTCCAGTCTTAGAATAAGGAATTCTTTGTCATTCTTCATCAAATTTAATTTTGTTAAGTACATGACACTGCACGAGTGCACAATTGAAGGGTCATTTTAGAAAATATGTTAACATTTTTTAAATTGCACGAAAAACATATTGATTTATAAATTTCCCCTTCACCTAAAGTAAGTTGGAATAAGTGGGCCCTGGGTTTACACTAATTTCGTTTTAAAAATCTGTATCTAAATCTATTTTACAGAGGTGAGGCTATCTTCTTGATTCGCTGGTTTCTTCTTCCAATGATTAGGACTGTACTGGATAACATGCGGGAAACTGAGGTATTAGTTATTTATTAAAATCATTTTCATGAGTTTTAATACTTTTTTCTATTAATATTTGGTGAACTTGGGAATATCTGAAATGTGAAGCAGAAATGTAAATGTACAAATGAAATGCATTTTTAATGATATCTACATGAGTTTGTCTGTTTGGTGACTGTCTGTTGGACGGTATCTAAAAAATGTCGAAACGGCTGAACCGATCAGGCACACATTTTTTGTTGCACCAAATGCACCAATTAAACAAAAAAACCGCAATACTTGTCTTTTTGATGCTGAGTTCGATGAGAAAAGCATCAGTGAAAAGCTGAAATTGTTGCCAGAAAGGGGGCCTAGAATAGCTTGTGTGTATGCCACCTTTAGCCTAGCCAGCCAACCAGTAACACTTGAGAGATGTAACATAAGGTTTTACATAGAAGATGTGGCTATCCCTTATATTAACTCTTTTAACACAGGCTACGGTTTTCTGCAAGTTGTTGTATAAATTTTAAATTTTAAATATTACGCTAGTATTGATATAAATGGTACCAAGACGTTAATTGTCTTGACCTTTTTCAGCTCTGGTTAGAAACTGAGTGTGCAGACATTGACTATACCGTCGTTAGGCCAGGAGGTCTTACTAACGGTCAGCTCACGGACACTGAAATCAAGGTAACAATTTTACTGAGGTTGACCTGGAGGTCTTGATAACGGTCGGCTCACAAACACTGAAATCAAGGTTACCCATTATATTCCTTAATGTTACTTTGTTCGTTCGATTAATGAAGGGACAGCATTCAGTACGTTCAATAATTTTCTTTTTTAAAAATGTTCTCTCCCCTTTTTGAGATATGAGAAATATTCCACTAAAGGGGAGGGAATGGGGGGGGGGGTGGTAACGAAGACATTTCCCCTTCTCCCTCAAAACAAATCCTGTATATTAGTAATTGTCCCCAAATGTTGTCTCTCGATAATTGTTTTAACTAAAATAATTCTTTTAGCACATTGAGGGACCCCACGTGAAAGGATCTTCAAGGATTACAAGAGCTGATGTTGCTAGGTTAGTATCATTATTCTGATATTATCATTAATCTCATCATTTTGTTATTCTTATTATTTTAGTATTATTATTAAAGTGATCACAATTATCATTATTTTGTAGAACCCATTTTCACATTTACCCATTTTCAATTTGAAAGAATTATGTATTTAGATTCATGTTGAACACTGCTAGTACTCAGGAGTTTATTAAGAAGCAGGTTGCTATTGGATACTAACTGTCAGGATTCATAGAGCTATTTTATACATCCAGGGTTTCTTGGATTTTTAACAAGACTCTTATCTGGATTTATTATTCAAGTCGTTAATTCATAAATATTTTTATATCATTGGTGACGGGTTTCTTTAATCAAAATGTTATTATTATATATGATTATGATTACGAGGTATGTTCAATAAGTTTTGCGAACTTTTTTAATTACTTCTAGATGTCTCAGCTCTGATTTTTTTTAAGCTCACTGTTCCATCCCGTTTGTCTACTCCTAATGGACTTTATTCATAAAAAAAAATTTCTTTGTTATCCGCTCTTTCCTGGAGGTTGTTCAGATCCGTTGCCACAGGAAATGTGTGAGCAGGAAAAATCCACAAACAGTCTACACAATTGTAAATTTTTCAGACCAAATTCGTAAGACTTCTTATTTAATGACTTTTGATGAGATTGACAACTGCTATGGTGCTAAATATAAAGATGTAATTGTAAACCAAGATTTGAAAAATGGCAAAGACATAAAACTGATCTTCATTCGCTGGTCAGAAAATAGAACCGGTTATAAACATGTGAACTTTAAAAAAATTTAAGTGTTAAGACATCCAGAAACACCCTTTAACTTATTGAACATCCCTCGTATAAATGCATGATTGTATTCAATTAATCAAAAATAAAATAAAATGTTACATTTTATTACTGCTGACATGTTATCAAATGATATTTAATATAATTACTGTAGTCTATATTTTCAACAAATATTTTTTACATATTTTTAATGAAAGATTAATGCTCAAAGAAAATACTCTATATACGATTATCACCAAAGCATTTTTATCCTAATGATTTTTATAGACGCTTCCAATATAAATTTACATGTTTTTACAAAACTTTATTCATGACACCAAAACAACTGTGATGGAAAAACTGAAACTTCTATGTGTACCTATTCACGCACTGCAAAATGTATCTGTTATTGTTTCATATTTTTCAACATTTATTAAAAACAAATTTTTAAAATTTTATGATTATATTTCAGAAAAGTTGACTCAAAGATGTGATATTGCCAATTTAAGAACGCTAAGATTAAAGGCGGCGAAGTTTTGTCCAACGTTAAAGGGCGAAGCAATCAGGAGGCGGAGCTTTTTGTCAGTTTAAATTTTTGATTGGACACGAGCAGTATGGTGTTAAGACAGAGAAGAAAACCATTTCAACAGGTACAAATATAAAATCTTAAGCAGCAAGATACTTAATTGTCTGTCGAAGAAATATACTTCCTCGGAAATCCCCATATGCCAATATTTTAAATGATTCCGCTAAATGTTAATTTAGATTCTCATATTATTCTGTTAATTTAGATTCTTAAAATGTTCCCCAAAACGAAAATCATTTCAAGAAAATACTAATGCTCCCCTATATTAATTGGTGAAATTGAAGTTTTCAATGCGTTGCTATTTTACAACGAATCTGACTAGAACTTGAGTTTAATATACCAAACATATGTAGATATATGGTCAATTAGTGAGTATTTTTTTGATCACCCTTGCCCTCAACCCAATTGAAACGCAAACGCTAATGTTATTGATAAAGATTTAATCTATCGTCCTCCTTTTTTGTATTTCTTTTTTCATATATTACAGGTTGTAACAGAACTGGACGCATTCCCCAAAGTAGAGGAAACTTATGTAGAACAAACTGCTACAGGAGCCTCAGGTCGCCGGGTTATATTGTACATTTCGGGGTTATACTGTACATTAATTGCTTTACTATACTTATTCACACAATATACTGTACATCTACTGCCCTACTGGTCGTACTCACACAATATACTTTAGTGGTATGTCCATTCAACAACGATATCATTAGGATACCCATTTTCTTATTTGTTTCCAAAGAAATTTCTATTTTGATATCCATTAAGTATACTGATGGATAAATCAAGTGGAATGATTTCAGTCAACCTGATTAGAGAGAAAATATTATTTTATTTTAGTTTCCATTATATCCTTTATCCTGGTCGTAGTGCTACCACTACACAGATTAGAGAAAAGACATTATTTTTATTTTAGTTTCCATTATAACCTTTATCCTGGTCGTCTTGCTGCTACATTCCGAACTAACCTACTACTACTGGCCGGGATATAAGTTTAGGTAACACAGGAGCAAATATTTTCTTGAATAACCGCCCCCTTTTTTGAAAATTTTTCCCCCCCCCCCCCCAATGTAAAGAATGTTTTTAGTTTTTTTCTCGCTGAATTTAGGGAAATGAATTTATATCCTTAAGTAATCAAAATTCTTGTAAATATGTATCCCAGTTATGAGGTAACTGCATGCAACTTCCTAATTTCGGGGCAAATATAATCAACAAATTCCTCAATAATTTTAAGCTTATTGGGAACAAAATTAAAATTAATATTTGTTATGCTTTTTCACCCCTTTCTGCTCAAAAGAATTAAAAAATATATATTTCTTCAATATTTCCAAATTAATGGATTTTCAAATCGTGGCTATGTTTGTCTCATATTCGCTGAAATATACATTGAGACGCAGTTGCAGTACATTGAGTTACATTTTATTCAAAGATTTTTAGGCTACCGATGTCTACAATAATAATATAAAGTAAAAATGTTTTCAGGGTTCCCTCCGATGCCAACGCAAATTCCAAAATGAAATATTTCGGGGTTTCCTCCGACGCCGATGTAAATTTCAAAATGAAATATTTCAGGGTTTCCTCCGACGCCGATGTAAATTTCAAGATGAAATATTTCAGGGTTTTCTCCGACGCCGACGTAAATTCCAATATGAAATATTTCAGGGTTTCCTCCGATGCCGAAGTAAATTCCAAAATGAAATATTTCAGGGTTTCCTCCGATGCCGACGTAAATTCCAAAATGATATTTCAGGTTTTCCTCCGACGCCGACATGAATTCCAAACTGAAGCTGAATGTAGATCTCACCGTAGCTATGCCTTGTGATTGTAAGTAAACTAAACTTCTTTTAAGATGTTCAAGTCGTTTATTGATTGATTCATTGTTGATGATTGTTATTGATTTCTATTATTGTTAATTGCTAACCATTTTTAAAGTAAATATTTTCTAAAATTAGTTACTAATATTAGATTTAAAAAGATCCGTAAGAGTTAAGAACTGTATATTTGTACACGGACATATTTGTATTTACAATATTTTATTATACTAGACCCCTACTTCATTGATTGACGGGTTGTCTTTTAATAATAATAATAATAATAATAATAACACCTATTACTAGTTTACAAGTCATCAGTAAAGTTCAGTATAGTACAAAAGATACATTTTTATTGAAACAATTTTTGTTGTCTATACTTTCCAGTATGTACATTTTGTCAAAAGTGTTGAGTAAATATTTTGATTTAAAGCCCAGAGTCCCAATGTACTCGGGTTTTCAAATAAAGGCATTGGAAACTAATTTTAAAGAATAAAATTTGAAATTTCTGATTTTAATGAAAAACATGTCATCTATATATATAAAAATGTTTTCTCTTTTTGTCTGCCTGTTTGTTTGTTTGTTTGTCTGATCATAACTTAGGAATCCTAAGACCGATTTGCCTCAAATTTTGATTTATAAACTCGGGAGACCCACGGGAATATTTATAGCTTGGTTTTGAGTTCGATAGCGAAAATTAAGTTTCCGTGTGAAATCGTTTTATGTCCTGGTAAACTGCGGTAGTAACTTTTAGTAACCTGGGCAGCCCATCTAGTTCTTAATATTATACATCCAAATTTCCGTTTTCACGGGAGCTTCCTAGTTGCGTCTCTATTTCTGCATTTTATATTTTTTGTGATTTTTATCCAAATTTCCGTTTTCACGGGAGCTTCCTAGTTGCGTCTCTATTTCTGCATTTTATATTTTTTGTGATTTTTCTTATATGAATTATTAACAAATGTTCAAGTTTAATTAAAGTTTTAAGGGCAAATGCTTCAGCTGGGAAAAGAAATATTGGAAAAAAATAATAATTTTACTGCTGCACACTTGTCATTTTAACTTTTCATAAAATGTTACAATGATGTAATTGTATATTTTCTCAGAAATTTTTCACCCTTTTATCTCTGAACATTAACTATTATATTGTGGAAAGAATCCATAACCTCTATTTTTGGAGTTTTTTAAAATATTTCCTCCTTAACCCCTTAGATTACTTTCATACCAATTTTTCAATCAAGAAATTTGTCATAGAATATGAATAAAATGAAAACCATCTAATTGACTCAAATTGGTTTGCGGTACAGTTAGAAATGTAAACAAGAATAATTGCAGATCCCTTTTTTCAGGTAAGGACTAGGAGGGATCTGCAATATTCTACACTGTGAACCTCGACATTGTAAGTTTAACGGTACACGAAAGTTCACTGTACTGTACTGCAAAGGTTTGTCTTTTGTACATTATCATTACGGCTACAGTACGCTGAACTTAGACTGCTGTACATTGTAGCCCGTGTTGAGGCAGTAAAGTGCATAAACATAAGTTTCGTGTTCTTTGTACTGTGCAGTGAGTGTACATTACAATATAACAATGACAACCACGCTAAAATCCACGATTAGTTTCCCCCAACTGGGTGCAGAACTTTTAACTGAGCAGAGTACAGCTGACCTTCTGTTGGTCGTGTCGGGTCAGCCAGCTGATAAACCGGTTCGTGTACATGCCGCTGTATTCTCGCTGCTCAGCGGGGAGTTGGCGCATGCGCTGAGAGACGCTGAAGTGGACGTTATTATATTCCCCGAAGGGAGTAGTGAGGAGATCTGGAGACTAGTTAATCACCTTTATAAAGGAGAACAAACCAATATCTCATTCTCATTAGCTCAGGAATAAATTACACAAATTTAGTTGTAACCGAGGTTGGAACTTTTGTACTGTACGAGTTAGCGCAAATCTTTAAAGACACAACTCAACATCCACTGCGCAAACTTTTAATTTGAATTAAATTAAGCCTTTAATCCTTGAAAAACCAACGTACTCGTATTTCGCAATATTTTATTTAGGTTTAAGAAGTTTCCAGCATCTATAGATCAATGGTTAAGCAACTTAAGTTATGGATTAGTGCTTTCTGTTTCCGACCTCGTGTCATTTAAAAGATCGAATTTTTTAAACTACATTACAAAGGTGCAAACTGTAGCAATAAGCAAATTTTCGTCATTTTCGGATGATGTTGCTTTAAATTTCATTTTTAATGTATTAATTTATCAGTATTCAATATGTATAATAAACTATAAGAAAAAATTAAAAACTTTTTAAATCAAACTGATTTGTGTAATTTGTCCACTAGGCGCTCGGATTATTAAGAAAGGTTGGGAAGGAGGAGAAATATGATCTACGAGACCCGGATTTAAGACGGAACCATTTTACCCCTATGAACCTGTTCGAGGCAGAAGAGGCCAGAAGACTCCTTGAGGCCGATGTAAAGATGGAAGTCTTAGAGGAGCTAGAGCCTGGCTTCCGTCCGTCCTATAGCGAGGAGGAGGATGAAAGTTTTGAGCCTCGACGTAAGAAGAAAAAGAAAAAGAAGAGATTTATTAAGAAGGAGTTGAAGCAGGAGAAGGAGGAGCTGGACGAGGGGCTGGAGGAGATGAAGGAGTTTAAGAAGGAGTTTGAGAAAGACTCCCCGTCTACTCCCGGCAAAACTAAAAAGGAAGCATTGGAGATGACCGCTCAGCTAGCGAGAGAACCTCATAAATTCAGGTGATTATATCTATTTATTTTTTAATCCGCGAAATTTTTGTTTTACAATACACAAAGAGAACATGTTCACAATTAAAAAAGATGGGCGCGAAGCGACCTACGCCTAGTAATATATGCTTTGCTTGTCTGTTTGTTTGTTTGTCTGTCCGTTTGTATCCGAAAAACGTCAAAACGACTGAACCGATGGGGACCAAATTTTGTGTGGGACATCACTTGACCCAAAGGAAAGGTTTATGGATGATCAAAATTTCAAAAATGTGTCTCTTAAATTTAATTTCAATTGAATTTTGAAAATTACACCATTTTTTTTAAAATCCACAAACCTTTTATGTTTGTTCTTGTTTTACAATGTATATGAAGAGAAAATGTTCATAATTGAAATAGATTATGGGCGCGAAGCATCCTTAGCCTAGTATGATAATATAACAATGATATAGAATAATATATTAATGATATAGAATAATATATTAATGATATATGATAATATAAAAATGAGATATGATTGATGAAATAACAACATATAATTAACAATGATTTTATATCCGTAATGACCACATTTTTTTTTATTCATCCTGAGCTGAAAACTTTAGAATGGTGGATATAGAGATTAATGCTTGATCTCCTCTTTTTTAAATATCCAGGTTAAATACTGCTTGTTCTCCTCTTGTTATTAATCTTCAGATTAATTAGCCGATCGGGATTAAGGATATTTCATTCTAAACTTTTCAGCTCTGATTTAATTATTTTAAAGACCGGCGTTATTGTCCCGGCTGAACATTTTTATTGTCTTGGCTATTGAGGATTAATGTGCCCAAATGTATGATAAATCATATTTAAGAAGGGCATTTTTTCTTACATTTCAAAGATTTATTGATGTGGATATAATTGCCAATGTGGCTGGTTAAGGTTTAGGTTTTGTCATTTCGAGATTGAGTTGTAATTGTTATACTAAAGTCACTTGTTCGGTAAAAATCCCGCCTCAATCTCAAAACACCCGGCCCCGGCTCAACTTTTGACCCGGTACATATAGTTTTGAAATAAAAAAACTAGTTTCAGTCTAGCAAAATGTACAGCTCCTATTTGTTCCGCAACTTCATAGATTATTGGCAAAATTCGACACTACAGAAAACTCGAAAATTAAATCTTATGGAACATACATTATGTTTTAGGCTGTTCAACAGACTACAGTATTGGGGGAATGGAAAGGTAAAATATTTTTAAGGGTAAAAATTATTTTTGATTAGATTGACCAAATAGAAGTATGAATTTGAAGAAAACTGTAATAAAATGTAAGAGATATAAAAGATTTAACAATAAAAAATTTATAAATAAAAATGAAATCAGAAAAAAGGAATGAAATGATGATAATTAATAGCTTTCTATATAATTTTTATCGTCCATGTTTTATCTACTTCATCTCATTTGTTAAACTTTGATTTTAAGCTTTTGTAAGAATTATTTTATCTTATCCTCGTTTTTTATTTGTCCAGAAGAAAGGCAGCAACGAGACCGATGACGAATATTTCGAACGAGTTCGATTCTATGACAAATTCCCAGGGCTAATCTTCGAGGACGAATGTACCCGGTTCGTTGTGTGTATTGAGTGCGGGACTGTGACTAAGAATATCCCGAGTACTCATCACTGTGAGAGGCAGGTTGAGTTCCTGCGGGATAAACCTGTCGAGGTCATCAGGAGGATGCACAAATCCTCACATCTTACTAAATACTTCAAACAGAAAGCTGACAAGGTAATATAATAATGTTATGTGAAAATATTTAAAGAGAATAAAACTTCAGAGACGATTGTAAGCATAGAGATTTTTTAGTCTTTTTCCTTACATTCAATATTCATGGTTCTAAGTGTGTGCAACTGTAAACTTGTTTATAGTCTTGCAATATTTTATAATTTACTATAAAAAGTAGAATCTCAAACTAACTCCTCAGGTTGGTTTACTGTTTATGTCGTCATTAAATTCTAATACTTAGTTTGTAAACCTGAATAATTCAGTGCTTAAATTCGGACCCGAATCCACTTCTAATATAATTGAAATTCGAGCCATCTTTATACAGACCTGAAGTCCTCTACAATTTACTTTGTTTTTTAAATTTACTAATTTGTTGGGGGGGGGGGGGGGGAATAAATCAATTTTATAGGTTGGAAATTATAGAACCACTCAATAAAAAAGAAATGTGACACTTCTGTTGTTTGGTCCCAATAATTTTGTTTCTTATGCGGTTTCGGATCAATGTCTTCATGAAATGTACAAATTCTTTTCTCTAAATTATCTGTCAGTCTAATTTCAATCCATGCTTTAAGTAACAATTGACAAAAAGAATTCATAATTTGAGAAACAATTTCAAATACATCGTCGTCATTATATCTTCAATGAATAATGATTGAGGTTCGGAACTGGACCTTGCTTCTCTTCTGTAGAAATCCAAAGATCTCATGAAAAGCCATGATCTAATTGCCTCATTTCGTACAGAAAAAACTGAGAATTCTTATTGATTCTTTTTTTGGGGGTTAAAAACCATCTGCACATGGTAAAATTAATGATGAGGTCAACTTTGAATTTAGTCCGCAGTCCCTTTAACTTGATAATTATTTCCAGGTTGAGTGTAAGGTTTGTCTAGATGTTCTTCCGAGTATGGATTCATTTAAAATCCATCTCAAGGAGCTTCATAATATAGGAATATTCATACTTTAATACAACATGCGAGACAAAATTATACATCTAAAACCCACTAAATTATATAGCGAGATCCATTAAACTTTGGAATGGGAAGACGACTTTACACTTAAGTTATAATTGTAAATAGTTAATCATGAAATACAGCAAGTGTACAGTTTATAAAGATCCATTTCACGTAAATTGGGTTTCTTTCATGTAACTGGTAAAACAATTTGTTTTATAACAGCATTAAATATAAAGATTGCTAAATATTGTCTTCCTGTTTAACAGCTTTATGGGCCTCATTTTTACAAGGTCTTGTACAATGTGCACTAAACATTGAGCATTTGTTCCAATTTTAATTCCAAAATTATTAAAGTATGAATTGTGTTTAATTAGAACCGCTGCTTTACCGCTGCAATAATCAATTCGGAGATTTTGTCTGCCAGGTAGGATTTGGTAGGATTCGGTAGGATTTGGGAGGATTTGGGAGGATTCGGGAGGGTTAGGGAATATTTTAGATGATTTGGAATGGTTTGGTAGGATTTGGTAGTGTTTGGAAGAGTATTTGGTAGAGCTGTGTAGGAGTTGACAGGATTTCGAAGGATTTGGGAGGATTTGGTAAAGTTTGTTAAAGTTTGGTAGGGTTTGGTAATTGTTGGTAACTGTTGGTAGGGTTTGGTAGGGTTTTGATGACTTTAGTAGGGTTTGGTAGGGTTTGGTCGGCTTTGGTAGGTTTTAGGAGGGTTTGGTAGGGTTTGGATGGATTTGGTAGGGTTTGGATGGATTTGGTGGGGTTTTCGGAGATTTTGTCTGCCAGGTAGGATTTGGTAGGATTTGGGAGGATTCGAGAGGATTCGGAATGATTTGGGAAGATTCGGGATGATTTGGTAGGATTTGGTAGGATTTGGTAGGGTTTGGTAAGGTGTGGGAGGGGGGTTGGTATGATTTGGTAGGGCTGTGTAGGAGTTGATAGGATTTGGAAGGATTCGGTTGGGTTAGGTAATTTTTGGTTGGATTTGGAAGGGTTTGGAAGGGTTTGGTAGGGTTTGGTAGGATTCTATAAGTTTAGATTCTGTGATTTTTGGTGAGATTTAGTAGGATTTGATAGAGATCGTTTGAAATAAACAGCACGAAATTACCAAGCACGATAAGATAGAATTAGGTAAGCTTGATTAACCTTATCATGGCTTTTAAAACGTATTTTGTCAAGTTGCTATATATTTCGTAGATTTAAGGTAAACATAAGAAATTTGCCAGCTTCTTCCCTTTGTAGAATATTAATCAGATTACATCCGGAAGTACGGAAATCTCTTAAACCCATTTACAAAACCTTATTCGGAAGACAGTCGGGCGGAGAAATTCTAATTTTTTTTTTCACAGAACTAATTTTCAATTTTTTAAAATTTAACAACATCTTTTTATTTTAGCACGGTTTTGTTGTGAGACCTGTTCAATGCATTTTCTAACTAGAAACTCACTGGATACTCATGTCAAGGAAAGCTAGAGAAAAAACTTACTTTTTTATTTTTCTAAAACTATTACGAATTTGCTAAAATGAAAGACTAATATTAAAGTTATGAAACTATTTGGCACTTTTTTGGGGTACAAACGAAACTTCTTTATTCAATACAGTTTTAAATTTTTTTTAACTCATCCGAATATTTACTTTATAAATTTAAATACGAGTCTAAAAACTGCATTAAGTATAAAAACCGCAAAAATCGTTAAAAAAAGAAACAAATGCAGAAAATAAAATGAGTTTTCCTCTCTGAAATCTCAAAAAAAAAATCTCGTTTTCGGCCTTTCATTAGTAAATTTTTAATATTGCCCAAATACTGGATAAATTATTTTTTTTTCGAGTGTTGCTTCTAATTTGCCATAGTATAATTGTCTGCTTGTTCTGTTCATTAAAAGCAGTTTCTCGACTTGTTGATATTTAGAGAACCCACGAGGATTACCGACCCCACGTGTGCGAAGAGTGCGCGCGCTCCTTTAAAGTTAAGCGGCATTTAGACGCGCACATGCGCACACACACGGGAGAAAAGAGTTTCCAGTGCCGACACTGTGATAAACGATTTGCTAAAGAATGGACTCGCACACAACACGAGCGTTTGCATCTTGGAGTCAAACCATACGCGTGTCATGTCTGCGATGCTAGATACAGTCAAAAAACATCATTGGATTGTCATATTAGGACACATCACACCAGACATGTATAGACATGTACATTGTACACAGGAAAATTGTTTTAGATAAATTTCTGACAAAAAATGGACGAGAATAATGTTTGATCGGTGTTTTTGGCATTACTGCTTAGAAATGTCCGACCAAAACCTGATTATTATTTATATTTTAAACCAGTCTATATTTGTTTTAATACATCTCTGGAGTTTGAACATTATGGCCATATAATTAGAATGGTATATGTTGTTTCAAATTTTTTATTTCAAATACTTTCTCACTTATAAACTAAACTAAAACAAGAAAAATTTACTTGAGAATTCTAGTTAGGGTTGACTGTGATTATTATTATTATTTAAATACAATATCATTCATTGCTCCAACATAACACATACAGAAGGACCAGAGCTTAATATTTCGATAACATGTAACTTGATTTTTAAATTATGATTAATTGTAAAAATGTGGTATTTTTGTATTAATTGTAAATTACTGTCTTTGCACAATAATTGTGAGAAAATTTTTTTTTGCCGCGATAAATGTAATTTCTTTGTTTACATGGCCTCAAAGTTCGTTAGAAATGACCAGTTGTGGCATCTGATATGTCGAAAGAACATTTGAGAACTTTAGAAAAATTGGGCCAGAATTCTTTAAAATTAAAAAAAGATTTGATTTAAACAAGCTTTTTCAAAGTCATTGTTGAGATAAAAAAAAATATGAAAAGGAGTCAAAGTTTTTGTAATAGTTGTGATAAATGGAATATCAAAATGATTCTGGGACTCGTGGATTAGTTTGGTCAAATATCAGAAAAATCTTGACAGAATATAAAAGATAAAATATTTCAAGCAAACTGGTATTTCTAGTGTGTAATGTGTATTTAATAAGTACTTATTAATTAAAAAAAACGAATTTTACCGCACATTTAATATTGGACATTTTCAACTTTGACTTTTAGATATATGTAAATTGTATATAAATTACTAAACTAAATGTTATATAGTAGATGTAAATTGTCTAACTATGTTTTACTTTAGCTTATTTTTATATGAAAAGTAAATTATGTTGTGATTGAATTTTCTGGTTTTACTTAGATTTTCAAAATATATTTTAATTGTTCAATGTTCATCCAATCCGTAGTTTTCCAATGAAGCTTTGCTTGTAGTGAACTTGGGTAAGAATATAGTTGGAACTACTAAACATTTGTACAACTATATATTAGGTGCTTGTACAACTTACATGTACAATGTACATGGTACATACTAGATAAGTACAGTTAATTAACTACTTTTCACGGATCTTTTTATTGGAGGTAAAAAATAAATTAATATCAGACAAATGTAAATATTCATGGATTTGAGATTTATTAATTACATTGATTTTTATTAATTATTGAAAAAGACTGATTGATTGATTGATTAATTTATTTAAGTTCTTAATAAATTTTTTAATTTTTTTTTTTGATCGAGTATCAAGTAGTTAATAAGAGTTGATTGATTGAATAATTTTTATGAATGTTAAATTGATTGATTGCCATGTAGGAATGATTTATATGATGATGATTGAATAATTGTTGTATTGAAGTGATAGGAGCTGATATCCTGGACAAGACGAATCAGAACGCGTTCAGCTTCGGTAGATTACGAGAAGATCCAACCTGGTTCAAGCTGGAGGAACATCAGCTCATTCATTTCAGAGAGGTAGGTCATCAACTTGGTTCCAGCTGGAGGAACATCATTCAATTCAGAGAGGTAGGTCATCAACTTGGTTCCAGCTGGAGGAGCATCATTTATTCATTTCAAAGAGGTATGTCATAAACCAAGTAAAAGTTTTACATGTAATTAAGAAACAAAACTATTAACATCTTTTTATTGTCTTTTCTTTAATTGGTGATAAGAAACATCCAAAAAATTTAGTTTAAAAACTAAAAAAATTAATTAAAAATTAGGTTATGAGAGATTTTTATTGAGTAGGGCGTCCCTAAAACTCTGATTTGTTTTGATTTAATTTTGAGTTTTAATTTTTCAGATGGAACGACTAAACGCTTATCTGAGTGAAGAATATCATCAGCTTCAAGATGTTCTTTGGAAATCTGGGTACTCGAGACTCTACGGAGATATGCCGGCTAGGTAGATAATGATCCTATACCATAATTTATGGAGATATGTTAGCCTCCCCCACCCCCCTTGATTTTTTTCCCTTTAAAACTGAAGAGTGAAAAACCCAATGACCCCGCCTCTTAAAACTCAAAGTTATGATTTAAAAGATGTTTTTTTTTCTTTATACCTTTTTTGTTCACTCTTTGCATTGTATAGGAAAAGAATGCAGCCAAAACAATATGTTATCATCGTCAAATTTATTGTTTTGTGACATGCTTAACAATTTGTAATTTATATTAAGACAATAAGCTGATTTGACAAATGTACCTGATGAATAACTTTATCTTATGTACTGTGTACATAGTTTCATTGTCCTTGACTTAGACGATTAGTCCTTGATAAACCACATTATGTTGTGAGTACTGCACATGATTTCTTTAACTATCCTTTATTTAGACGATTAGTGCCTGATAATCCTCATAATGTTGTGTACAGTACTGTACAATGGATAGGTTCCTTTAAATATCCTTGATTTAAAGGAACCTTTTATTGAGAATATTAGTTCCTGATGCCCCCCAGTACCTGATGAACGACATGATGTTGTGTACAGTACAGTATAGTACAGTACATGGTTCCTTTAACTACCTTTTATTAAGAAGACTAGTACCTGATTGATGAACGACATTATGTTGTGTACAGTACAGTTCATGGTTCCTTTAACTACCTCTTATTAAGAAGACTAGTACCTGATGAACGACATTATGTTGTGTACAGTTCAGTACATGGTTCCTTTTACTATTCTTAATTTAGACGATTAGTACCTGATGAACCACATGATGCTTGCCGCGTACATGGTTCTCTTACTCTCAACAAGGTTGCAGGAAACTTCCATGTAACAGCAGGAAAGGTATGGACTAGTGAAATTGGCCAGCATAAAACACAAAGAGAATAGAATATATATTAGAGGGGAATTTACTAGAAAAAAGTGTAAAACGGAAATTTTGTTGTACTGTTTCCATACTGCAGGTGTACTTCACATATTTATGCTATATAACCTTTTGGGCCCTGGAATATCATTTTATAGAAAATCTAAAATTAATATTAAAAGAAAACCAAATTATGAAATAGGCTGGTTCCATAATTGACCAATGATCATTTCACTTTCACTTTCACTTTACAAACGATGATTTTCCGTTATAAGTTTAAATCAAATGATGTTTTTTATTCACCTAAATCATTATGAAGTTTATTTAACAGCTTTAAAAAATTTGAAATAGAAATGGATAGTCTAGGGAACATACTGTATTAATTTACTCTACTGCATATAATTTGTGAATATTTACATGATTTGTACACTTTGAACTCCCTTTCAGGCTGAAAGAGACTGAAAAAATTCATACCGAGAGATTCATTAAATTCCTCTCTAATATATATTCTATTCGCTATGATAAAACATTTTTAAAATTTGTCCGCATACAACATTTTTGAAATTTATCAGCCTAAAACATTTTTTAAAAATTTTTTATTTCAAGCAAATAAAAAAGGGGACCTTTAACGATTTTCATAAATTCGCTAATTGTCGTCACTTAAGCAAATAAATACAGTTATCTTAGTTGTTGTTGGTATTTCCTTGCAGTTCAACAGAACAAAGCAAATTTTTCTTTAAGTAATTGGAAATTGGAAGACAACGAAAAGCACGTGAAAAATCGAACAATGAATATAGTGGAGTGCCTGGCAGTGCTTTGAATCCATTTCATTTTGAGATCCAGATGCGGACCCTGGATCCGTACCCTGTAACAAATGGATCCATGTTCAGATTCAGGATATTTCTTTTTGTTTTGCATATTTTTTATGTCTTAAAACAAGTTATCAAATCAAGATCAAAGGCGCTAAAAAATTTCAGATTAAATGAAACCGGATCAGTTGAAGGAAGTTGTTAGATTTAAAATGTAAATATTTTCGTTACAGGTTCTACCCATTGCTGGAGCACATGCACATCTGACAAGCTTTATGGAGGAACATGAGTATAATTTTACACACAGGTACACAGGGGCACTCATCTTACAAGACTTGGTGGGTGAGGGGNTCTTTTTAAAATTTGGTTTTAAGATTGAAAAACTGTTAAACTTTTTTAAAGAAAAAGCAACGGTTAAAATTTTTTTAGGAAACCAAATCTGTAAAACTTGATTTGAGTTTGAAAAACTATAAAATTTGTTTCAAGGAAGAAAACTGTCAAATAGAATAGAAAATCCCGTTTTAGGATAGAAAACTTGAAAACTTGTTTCAGGAGAGAAAAAACTCGAAAACTTGTTTCAGATTAGAAATCTGGAAAACTTGTTCCAGAGCTGAAAACTTTAGAATGGGATATCCTTAATCCAGATCGGTTAATTAATCTGGAGATTAAATTCATGAGGAGAACAAGCAATATTTAATCTGGAGATTAAGAAAAAGAGTGGATAAAGCATTAATCCCGATATCCACATTTCTAAAGTTTTCAGCTAAGGTTAGATAAAAAATAAAATCTTGTTTCAGGATTGAAAAATTGAGTTTTGGAGACTCCGTTGCGGGGATAATTCAACCTCTGGAGGGAACAGAGATGACGACGGATATAAGTGAGTGAATTTTCTCTTTTTCATGTTCTAATTCATCTTTTTTATAATTCTTGTTCTTGTTCATTCTACTTTTTTTTAAGCGGATTCTCTTCTGTCCTTAAATAACTTTCAGATTCATCAACTTTCTTTTTCAAATATGTTATTTTTATAAATTCCTGTTTATGACATAAGACATACATAATATATTCTAGATCTGATAAACTACCAGTACTACATTGAGATCGTACCTACTGTTGTGGATACATATCTTGGTAGGACAGTCACCTACCAGTACAGTGTCAAGGTAGGTGTAGCGGATATCATCTCATGGGTGTTTGAGGAATGATTTTAAAATTAATTTATGTTTGATTCAAGATAAAGATCGGGCAGAAAATCTGAAATGTGGGGAGGAATCGAAGGATGGCTCACGCGATCCCTGTAAAATATGATTTGATTTGTGATTGAATTCAAGATTGAGTTTTGTTGGTTTCAAGGTTTATTTTGTGATGATTTAATGATTAACTTATGTTGATTTTAAGATTGTGCGAGGTATGATCAATAAGTTTCGCTGAAACTTTCTTACTTTCTTTGAGGCACTTCTAGAAGTCTCAATTATAAATCTTCTTTTAAAGTTTACTATATACTATCTATATTGGGGACATTTTTGGCCAGGTTGTCGTCAAGTAGATTGTTGTTGTGACGTAAGGAGCGTTCTCCTCAAGGTGGATTATATTCGTCACAGCAAAGGAATATCTAGAATATTAACCAGAGAAGGACACATTTTTTTGTTTTTTATTAGACAATGCGAAAACTAAGCAAACCCCTTACACATGATCCAGAACGCATTTATAAAGGGATTTGAACTTTAATGATGGTTTAATGGGCTTAAGAAAGAAAAAAATAATATTTGAAGGATTATAACATGTCCGGGCGGGAAAAGACCATCAAGACCAAATAGATTCAAGTACAATAGGTGGCAACAGAGAAATGGATATAAGACATACATAATATATTCTAGATCTGATAAACTACCAGTACTACATTGAGATCGTACCTACTGTTGTGGATACATATCTTGGTAGGACAGTCACCTACCAGTACAGTGTCAAGGTAGGTGTAGCGGATATCATCTCATGGGTGTTTGAGGAATGATTTTAAAATTAATTTATGTTTGATTCAAGATAAAGATCGGGCAGAAAATCTGAAATGTGGGGAGGAATCGAAGGATGGCTCACGCGATCCCTGTAAAATATGATTTGATTTGTGATTGAATTCAAGATTGAATTTTGTTGGTTTCAAGGTTTATTTTGTGATGATTTAATGATTAACTTATGTTGATTTTAAGATTGTGCGAGGTATGATCAATAAGTTTCGCTGAAACTTTCTTACTTTCTTTGAGGCACTTCTAGAAGTCTCAATTATAAATCTTCTTTTAAAGTTTACTATATACTATCTATATTGGGGACATTTTTGGCCAGGTTGTCGTCAAGTAGATTGTTGTTGTGACGTAAGGAGCGTTCTCCTCAAGGTGGATTATATTCGTCACAGCAAAGGAATATCTAGAATATTAACCAGAGAAGGACACATTTTTTTGTTTTTTATTAGACAATGCGAAAACTAAGCAAACCCCTTACACATGATCCAGAACGCATTTATAAAGGGATTTGAACTTTAATGATGGTTTAATGGGCTTAAGAAAGAAAAAAATAATATTTGAAGGATTATAACATGTCCGGGCGGGAAAAGACCATCAAGACCAAATAGATTCAAGTACAATAGGTGGCAACAGAGAAATGGACCAATACATGACGTCACAAATGTCAAAAGAAGACAATGTTTTCTCCCAGTAGTTGACATGTTTTCCAAGATTAAATAAAAAAGTGTTAAAACAGAAAATAAATAACACAACATTTTACTTTTTTTACTATTTTTTTAACACTTTACTATTATTGACAATTTTGTCGGACACATAAAACTGTTGACAGTTGTGACGTAAGAATACAGCTGTACAAATTCTACATTACCATCTATTGTAATTGATCAAATATTTGATCAAGGTCCCTTAAATGGTCGAAATAATTATAATTTGTTTAAACCATGTTAGTAAGGATTCTAGAAGTGTATTTGCCAGACAGCTTAATGTATGCTTTTACAGAGTAAACAAAGTTGTAAACCAAGATTTAAAAATAACAAAGATCTGGATTAAATTTTTCCCAAAGTCTCTAACATAGGATAAAAGGCGTAACATTAATTATGGATCTGAAATGTAAATCAAAACCAGAAACATCTTAAAAGTCCTTTCTACATTCAATACTCAATCTCTCTTTTCTTTTGATCACTCTTAAAGGGTCTAAAACAGACTCTGATGAATCAAGTTTTTAAAACCTAGCTTTCTCAAGAACACAACCCTTTGATTGAATTAAGATTTTGACAGAAATAACATGCAGATGATAAAGAATATTTTATTTATTCTAGTTTTATCTAAAATAATACAATTTAGAGAAAATTACTTGAAATAGTTAAAATTAAATAGGAACTTTAAAGAAATATACACACTTTTGCTGCAATATCTCGGCTGAGACTTCTTAAAGTACCCTTAACTTATTTTTAGCAAAACTTATTGATCACACCTCGTATTAGTGATTATTTCAAAATTGATTTATTTTAATTTTAAGATTGTTTTAGTGATGATTTCAATATTGATTTTAACATTAATTTCAAGATTAATTTCAAGATTAATTTCAAGATTGATTTCAAGATTGATTTTTCAAGATTAATTTAAAAATTATTTTCAAGATTGATTTCAAGATTAATTTCAAGATTGATTTCAAGATTGATTTCAAGATTGATTTCAAAACAATTGTAATGTATATTGTATAATTTATCCAAATAATAACTTTGCAATTGATTTGAAGATTTATATCTGAACTTGATTTTAAAACTTTGTCAACTAAGTAATATAGGAATTTTCAGATTGGTTTCTTGATTTTTTACAATAATCTAGTTATTGAGTTTAAGATTAACTAACTAATTAATTTCATGATTTTTTTATTCATTTTAATATTTATTTAGTTATTTAGTGAGCTGTGTAAGATTTAGAAGTCGATGATAAATTAATTAATAATTAGATTAAGCTAGATCTGTTACAGGAGCTAGCTCGTCCTATCTCGCATGGTCAGGGTTCCCATGGTACTCCTGGTATATACTTCAAGTATGATATATCTGCGCTCAAAGTAGAAGTCACAAAAGACAGGTGTTATTCTCAAATTAAAGGGAGTGTAAGCATGAATGTAAGTGGCTCCATGCAAAGATGGCAATGCCCGATTCACATCGGTTCCCTTGAAATTGTTATCTTAAGTATGTGAAAGATACTTTTTTTAGGTTTAAAAGTTTTTAATTCTGATAACTCCTTTCTTTTTTCATGCAGGAGAAATGCGCAAGACATTTCTGTAGAGAAACCACAGTTGAAAATAATCAGATTTGAAAATTATAAATATTGGAATTTAGATCATACTTAGATCAAACAAAGCTTTTAGGAGTACCGTTGTTAATCGGCCCTTTCCATTTTTGCAAAAACGGTCACTTGGAACTACGCTTAGGGTCCCTTGAAGCTTATTCAAACAAAACACTGTTCAATGACGACAACACAAAACCCCCTTGAACAAAGTTCGACAAAACATTTTTTTAAAATATCTTGATCAATCTTAAGTTTCTTTTCTTTAAACATCATGTTTGTTTGGAGTTTGTCCTGTCGCCTTAACTTTATTACATTGCAGAGAAGAGTTTTTAAAGTGTAAATCTTACTTGTTAATATTTTAGGGAACCTTTTTGGCAGTTTCTAGTTAAAGTATGTGCCGGAGTTGGAGGCATTTGTGCAACCTCTGGACTTCTAGCCATCCTCGTCAAGTGGGTAGTCAACACCATATGCTGTAGTCTAGGTCAAGAGCAAACAAAGAAACCAGTTTCAGCGTCAGCTGTACCAGCCAGCTGATAATCTGGGTTCACTAAAAGTTAAAACCAGTTTTTGACTCAGCTACAACAACAAGTGAAAGATAATCCGGGAATCTAGCTAGTTACAACTGGGGGTCATTCCTAGTTGAAACTGGTTCTTGCGTCAGCTGCAGCAACTAGCTGAAGTCGCGTGTTCCTCCAGTTAAAACCGGTTATTTTATTACTAGCAGAAAACTTGCCTTAGTTGCAACTATTTAACACACGCTGGTTACAGCATTAGTGGCAACCATTTTCCGTTAACTGATTACTGCATTAGAAGCATTATTTGAATGATTAGTGTGAATTGTGAAGTGTGAATGTGTTATTTGTATTTTCCAGCACGTATTGTTTTGATTTGTGGGTTTAATAACTATCTGTTAACACATTTGGTTTTTTCATCAAAATGTTTTATGATTTAAAAATTAAATTTGAGCCTCTCTGACGAAAACGGGCACGTGGTTTTGTGCACTGTTGCATTTATCTGCGTTTTAATTTGACACTTGTGATTTATCCTTTTCCTTCGTTTTTTTACAATGAATAAAATGTATCTTAAAAAATAATGATGATTACTCCAATTTTATAAAAAAAACAACGATTTTTTCAGTTTAATATGATGGAATCTTGAGAAAAAATCTCTTAGCATGGAATTGGATTCAGACTTTTGTCTAAGTATGAAATTGTAAAATAAGCTTGCGTTGTGATTTAAAAGAGTATTTTTGAACTTTTTAGAGAATTGAGAATTGAGAAAAATATTTTTTTCTTTTAAGTGATCACTAGTTCTTCCCTCGACCCTTGTCATTAATGTTTCTACTTTATCCTACTCTGCTGTAAGTCCTGTAAGTCACCTAATCTACAGTTAAGCATTAAGTAAAGAATGCATCGGAAGAATTTATTAAATGTCGTTTTCTGATAATGGAATTCCGTAAATATTTGAGAATTCCGTAAATATGGAGATCTGATGGCTATTTATTATTTTCACAAAAAAAGGATAAAAAAATTCGCATTCGGGAAAAAATATCACTTTTAACAAAGACATTTTTATAATATTTAAGTAAGTAGAATGACAGCTTCAGTACATTCACCACAATTGGGATACTATGCTTCTAGTTATAAAATTCTCAGCAGCAAAACTCATTACAAATTTATAAGGCGACATTTGATAAATTTTTCCGATGTAATCTATATTTAGAGTTTACAATAATAGTATTTTAATTTTTGTAAATGTTATTTAAATCAGTACGGCAATTTTTTCAGACTACAGTAATTACTATAAAATACTTGAAAACAGAGAGTTCACATCGATTACTCATAGTTATGGGGTTAACTAAATGTTGCCTTCTATAATCAGGGGGAAATTTGTTTGGATGCATTAAATTCCATTTACTAACTATCGAAAATAAAAGAGAATTTTATATGTAATGGTACACCCTGCATATAGGGATGTAAACGTTTTCTTTTTCTTGAAAAATGATCGTTTCGTTTTGAAAACGACGACGAAAAAGTTCGATTTTAAAAAAAGATTGTTTTTATAAACGACCGTTTTAATCAAAATCGTCGTTTCGATCACGACGACCCTTCGTTACCGAAGAGAGGAAACCTACCTGAAGGGCATCAGTACTTATTATTGAGTTTTTATGAAAATATCAAGAAGTTTTAGCTCCCCCACAACTTTTTAACTTCATGTAAGACGACATTCAATAAAGTTGCATGTAATTTTATTTTCGAAAACTCGTTTTTTCCAGAACAACCGTTTTTTTAAACTTCTTCGTTTCGTTAATGATCGTTAACGACAACCCTTCGTTAACGACCGTTAACGACGACCCTTCGTTAACGATCGTTAAAATAATTGTCAATAGAATTTTTATTTTCAAAAACGATCGTTTTTTCGAAAGCGATCGTTTTTTAAAAAAGATCTAAAAAAAGCTGTGCTGTATGGTGGAGGCTCGTTTACTGCATAGCGGAGGCACGGTCTGCATAGATGAAAGACCATATCCTTGTGATATTTGTGGTAAAGCGTTTAGAAGACAAGATCATCTGAGAGATCACAGCTACATTCACTCTAAAGAGAAACCGTTCAAGTGCTTGGAATGCGGGAAAGGAAGAGTACGAGATTGACGAAATCCTTTCCTGCATTCCAAGCACTTGAACGGTTTCTCTCAGATGATCTTGTCTTCTGAACGCTTTACCACAAATATCACAAGGATATGGTCTTTCATCAGTGTGAGTTCTCTCATGGATCAGAAGATTGTAGGATTTTTAAAAAAAAACGGTCGCAAATCGCTTTTATAAAAACGATCGTTTTCAAAAGTTCAAAACGAGTTCGTCGTTTTTAAAAACGATCGTTTTTTCCGAAAACGAAACGATCGTTTTTTCCGAAAACGAAACGATCGTTTTTGAATACGATTGAAAAACGAAACAAAAAAACGATCGTTTTCCAAAACGATTAACAACCCTACCTTGCATATTAAGATTTGAAAAAAAAATACAATTTAAAATAGTCAAAAATTTAAGTGTCAAATTTATACAATTACAAGCTTCGAATAAATATTACGCTAAAGACATTTTATAGTTTAAAAAAATAATTTCATTCCTCTTTTTTCATATTTTTAAAGAGTCTATTTTTGTTGAAAAATCCAGTTCAGGCCATGGCGTCTCATCCTTGCTGCTCGCCTAAAATAAATTATCAAATTCACACTTCTTAAATTAGTATTTTAGTGTTTTTTATCAGGGTTAATTGGATTATCAACGAAATTTCAAAAAAAGAGTTAAAATGCTGGATCAATAAATTTGATAAAAAGATTAAACAACTCTTTAATAAATCCATTACCTCGCGTACAAAGTTTCCCTCCTGGTCAAACTTTAAAGGATCATCAAAATGAGCAGTAACATCTTCTAAATACTGCCCCTAAACACAATTTTAACTTCTTTCTGCAAACTAAGAAGGTATTAACAAAGGCCCCCTCCCACCCGCTATAATTACAACCTGTTTTTCTTCAACAAGAGTGACCGGCTTGAGCTGAGAGTGCAGTATTATAAAGAAATCTTTAAGGATTCATTTGAAACCAATAAGACATTTTTACTGCGTAGCTTGGAGGATTTCAAAACTCGATTTTGCGCTCCTTCTCAGCAATTATACACCGTAAAAATGGCCTACTGATAACAAATAAATTCTTTAAATTTTCTTAATACTGCTTTCTCGGCTCAACTACCGGTCACTTCCTGTAATTAAAAGTTGCAATGTTGATAAACCAACACAATAACTAAATTTACAGATTTACCTCTGAAAGTAAAGAACATTTAGCTAAAGGCTTTTACCTCTTTTTCTGTGGATTTTCTGCCGAGCACCCTGTTTCTGTGTGGAAATCTTCCAAATCTCTTATTATAATCAAATAATCAATAACCAAGGAAAACTATTGACTAATCAATAATTAAGAGGCTATAGCTAAGTCAATTTATAATCAATTAATTACGCAATAATGAAGGGATAACAATTAATCAATCAAACGATAAAAACGATAATAATCAATAATCAAGCAACCAAAAACTAAAGGAAAATAATCAAGGTATAGCACTCAATTAATCAACAAAACCCGTACCTTTGCGACTCACTTCCAACAATTCTTATTTAGAAAAATCTCATTCCTTTTAGAAATTGTCGTAAAAGTACCAGATGGTTACCTGTATAACGTTCAAGTTTCTTTTAAAGATTTCTTGAATTATTCTTAGAGGGTCTTCATTGGGCAATCTAGCCTGTACATAATTAACCCAAACCTGTACACCAAGCTCCTAGAATACAACACTAGGTAGTCTAGCCTGTACACAATTAACCCAAACCTGTACACCAAGCTCCTAGAATACAACACTAGGTAGTCTAGCCTGTACATAATTAACCCAAACCTGTACAGAATACAACACTAGGTAGTCTAGCCTGTACACAATTAACCCAAACCTGTACACCAAGCTCCTAGAATACAACACTAGGTAGTCTAGCCTGTACATAATTAACCCAAACCTGTACACCAAGCTCCTAGAATACGACATTATGTAGTTTAGCCTGTACATAATTAACCCAAACCTGTACATCAAGCTCCTAGAATACAACACTAGCTAGTGTAGCCTGTACATAGTTAACCCAAACCTGTAAACCAAGCTACTAGAATACAACACCAGGTATTCTAGCCTGTACATAGTTTACCCAAACCTGTACACCAAGCTCCTAGAATACAACACCAGGTAGTCTAGCCTGTACATAGTTTACCCAAACCTGTACACCAAGCTCCTAGAATACNGATTATAATCAAGGTATAACACTCAATTAATCAACAAAGCCCGTACCTTTGCGACTCACTTCCAACAATTCTTATTTAGAAAAATCTCATTCCTTTTAGAAATTGTCGTAAACATACCAGATGGTTACCTGTATAACGTTCAAGTTTCTTTTAAAGATTTCTTGAATTATTCTTAGAGGGTCTTCATTGGGCAGTCTAGCCTGTACATAATTAACCCAAACCTGTACACCAAGCTCCTGGTTTACCTGGAAATGAATATTCTCTGCTGTGGATAGAACCATGCAGGGAAGAAACACGGTTTGTAGCGGAGTTAAGGATTTCCAGTAACCATAGAATATTGCCTATAGATGGAACCAACAGAAATATTAAACTCGGGAGCTTATCTAAAGCTAAAAATGAAAAGGATTCTTTGGGAAAAAATTATTTGAAATTCAATATTTTTACAGACTTTAAGCTTTTTAAAAACATATCTAAATATGATATTAGCAAAAACTAATTCAAATAGACTGACTGGATTGCAAATTAAAGTTACCCTCCATTTTGAGAGAATCATACCCAATTTACAACGTACCCTTAAAACCTTTATCTGATCAATATGCGGAAGTATAATATTTTTTTCTTGCTTCAAAGTCGGAAATCTAATCGTTTATTTCTGAAGCAGAAATGCGCAAGTCACTTCACAGAAAACCACAATTGAAAATAAGTTATTTTCAATGTGCATAATACACAAATCTCGTCCATTCTTATTCATTAAAGGGTACCGTTGTGAATCTGAGATACAGATCATTTTCAAGCAATTTCGATTGAGTAATTTTGTCTGTTTCCTTAAGCACAACTCCTTGAGCCTTCTCGTCCCCTGAAAAAAAAACAGTCAGAGCTGAAAACCTTAGAATGGGATATCCTTAATCCCGATCGGTTAATTAATCTGGAGATTAATAACAAGTGGAGAACAAGCCTTATTTAATCTCGAGATTAAGAAAAAGAGTGGATCAAGCCTTTCAAAAGTTCCCAGCTCTGGTAGTAAACTTTAATAAATAAATCGGAATTTTCTTTTTTATCTATTTGTTAAAAAATTCAAAAGTTCCCAGCTCTGGTAGTAAATTTTAATAAATAAATCAGAATTTTCTTTTTTATCTATTTGTTAAAAAATGATGATGATAAAAGATGGTGGAATGTTCTTTATATAATCAGTTTATTAAATGGAGAAAAATCAAGCTCTTTGTTATTTGTTGCATTTAAATAATCCAGTAAAATATGAAAGAGACCAAACATTGTTCAAAAACATTGTATTTTGGACTTCTTATAATTTTTCAGAAAGAAAAAAATTAACGCAGATGTGCCTTATATGCAGATGTGCCTTATATTTGCAGATGTGCCTTATATGCGCAGATGTGCCTTATATGTGCAGATGTGCCTTGAACATTGTTGGGAATGTTTGCCATCATGGACTAAGCGTAATTTCAAGTGAACCTCCGATTCACTACCATACTCTTAAAAGCTTTGTCTGATTTGAGAACAGATTATTTTTAATTGCAGTTTCCTGTACAAAAGTGATTAGCTTCTATCTCATAAATACATATGGAAATTGTAACTTATTAGAGCTAATCACTTTCAAATCTTGGAAAACAACAATATCTTACGCATTTTAGATGAAATTAAGGTTTAAAGGAACGGCAGAAGGGTACCGTTGTGAATATGGCACTGCCATTTTCCATTGAGGGTTACTTTACATAGTTTACCCAAACCTNATATTCAGTTTATTCATTTATCTATATATTTACAATACATAGCCTTAATATTCAGTTTATTCATTTATCTATATATTTACAATACATAGCCTTAATATTCAGTTTATTCATTTATCTATATATTTACAATACATAGCCTTAATATTCAGTTTGTTCATTTATCTATATATTTACAAAACATAGCCTTAATATTCAGATTATTCATTTATCTATATATTTACAATACATAGCCTTAATATTCAGTTTATTCATTTATCTATATATTTACAATACACAGCCTAAATATTCTGTTTATTCTTTTATTTATATATTTACAATACATAGCCTTAATATTCTGTTAATTCATTTATCTATATATATACATACAATACATAGCCTTAATTCATTTATCTATATATTTACAATACATAGCCTTAATATTCAGTTTATTCATTTATCCTTATATTTACAATACATAGCCTTAATATTCAGTTTATTTATTTATCTATATATTTACAATACATAGCCTTAATATTCAGTTTATTCATTTATCCTTATATTTACAATGCATAGTCTTAATATTCAGTTTATTCATTTATTCATATATTTACAATACATAGACTTAATATTCAGTTTATTCATTTATCCTTATATTTACAATACATAGCCTTAATATTCAGTTTATTTATTTATCAATATATTTACAATACAAAGCCTTAATATTCAATTTATTCATTTATCCATATATTTACAATACATAGCCTTAATATTCAGTTTATTCATTTATCCATATATTTACAATACATATCCTTAATATTCAGTTTATTTATTTATCTATATATTTACAATACATAGCCTTAATATTCAGTTAATTCATTAATCTTTATATTTACAATACATAGCCTTAATATTCAGTTTATTCATTTATCTATATATTTACAATACATAGCCTTAATATTC